TAATGATGATGAGGAATATTCTGTTGTTTTTTAAAAAAAAGTGGGAAAAAAACAATTCAAAATCAATCGAGATTCGAAATTGAAATCAAATTCTACTTACTTACCTATTTTTCATTTTTGTCAAAAATCTTCCTCAATCAAAATCATCAATTCTGTTGTGGTCGGGAAAAAAATCAAAGTCCAAGAATTTTGTTCAAGTCAAGAATTTTGAATTTGATTTGCAAGTTCAAATGATGTTTGTTGACGGTGATTGAAAAGTTTCAAAACTAAAAATGGACAATCATTTTTGTGGAAATGATTGAATTTATATACCCAAGCTGCTCTCCAAAAACTATCAAAATGTTAACACACACTCACATATCATGGCTGCTTGTTTCTGTTTATCATTTTTAAAAAAAGAAAAATGAAAAAAAGTAACAGCCATCCAGGCTGCTAAAATGTTAACATTTAGTTTTTTTTGCAATAATGATGATGATGGTGAAAGAAAAAGTAGGCGTGCCTTTCTCACCTCATTGGTTCATTTCAGTGAAAAAGCAATACCAAATCACCACCACCCCCTCTCCATATTGTAAATTCTTTGAACCAAAAAAAATGATAAGAATAAGAATTATGGGCGGAGTTATAATCATATATATAGAATATATATATGGTTGGTTGGCTACCATTAGAATTATATGCCACTACCTTTTTTTAGTTCAAAAAAAAAAAAAAATTTGAATTTTGAATTTTCAAATTTTCAAATTTTCAAATTTTCAACAAACCACTGATGATGATTTTATCATGACCAGGAAATGTATGTACCATCGATCAGGAAGATAATTTTGCAACAACGACGATGGTACGTGTGTGTATGGTAAAAAGGTACCTCATCATCATCATCGTTGATAATGTCCTTGGTCATTGTTCGGAAGTATAAGAATTATTACAACCAAAAAAAAAGCCATTTCAAATGACCTTCGACCCAATCGATGCATGCATATTGATGATGATGATATGACCTTGGAAATTTGTTACTAATCTGAAAACAGAAACTAGCTAACTACCGTATTATGTAATGTACACACATTGTAACAATCGGTTGGCAAGTTTGGAAGAAGAAAGAAATAATTTTGGTTTTGGTTTTCTGGTTTGAAAATTTTTCAAATTTTTTTTTTCTTTCATCGACCTTCTCCTTGGTCGATTTACATTTGGCTAGTTTGTTTTTTCGTTTTGGAAATAATAATAATGATACCTGACACGCAATTTGAGAGCGAAATGCAAATTTCATTCCCAATTTGTGTCGAAATGGTCGAAATAATCATTTGTGTTGGTTTTTGGTTTGTGTCAAAAAATTTGTCCAAAATAATAAATCTAATGTTTGGCCAAGACTTACTTTCTTCAACCANAAAAAAAAAAAATGATAAGAATAAGAATTATGGGCGGAGTTATAATCATATATATAGAATATATATATGGTTGGTTGGCTACCATTAGAATTATATGCCACTACCTTTTTTTAGTTCAAAAAAAAATTTGAATTTTGAATTTTCAAATTTTCAACAAACTTGATGATGATGATGATTTTATCATGACCAGGAAATGTACCGCCGATCAGGAAGATAATTTTGCAACAACGACGATGGTACGTGTGTGTGGGGTAAAAGGTACCTCATCATCATCATCATCATCGTTGATAATGTCCTTGGTCATTGTTCGGAAATATAAGAATTATTACAACCAAAAAAGCGATTTCAAATGACCTTCGACCCAATCGATGCATGCATATTGATGATATGACCTTGGAAATTTGTTACTAATCTGAAACAAAAACTAACTAACTACCGTATTATGTAATGTACACACATTGTAACAATCGGTTAGCGAGTGTGTTTTGAAGAAATTTTGGTTTTGGTTTTCTGGTTTGAAAATTTTTCAAATTTTTTTTCTTTCATTGACCTTCTTCTTGGTCGATTTACATTTGGCTAGGTATTTGTTTTTTCGTTTTGGAAATAATAATAATAATGATACCTGACACGCAATTTGAGAGCGAAATGCAAATTTCATTCCCAATTTGTGTCGAAATGGTCGAAATAATCATTTGTTTTTGGTTTGTGTCAAAAAATTTGTCCAAAATAATAAATCTAATGATTGGCCAAGACTTACTTTCTTCAACCAAAATTGAACCAGATTCTTCCCCTCTCTGAATCCCACCATTATAAAAATTCGATTAAAAAATCTCAATGGAATGATTTCTCTCCCCCCTCCGTTCATCGTTATTACTTTTGGATGATTCTTTCGAAAAAAAAGATTATCATCCTGATGATTCGATCGTCGAAGATAATAATGAAAAGATGAACATTCCATATTACACAAACAACAGCCATCATTATCATCATCGAAAGAAAAATATAAAAAAAACATCCCCCCAAAACCAATATTACCACCATCACCCCCTCCAATATTTTGTTGTTGTTGTTTTGCAAAACATTCAATTCCCCGAACCAATCATGTTTATGATGATGATGATGATCATCATCATTTTTTTCTTATTCCAATTCTATTTGTTTTTTATTATTGTTGTTTCGTTTTTTATTTCGTAAAAAACATGGAGAAAATCAGATTCGTATTGGGAGTTTGATGATGAAACTTTAGAAACTTTTTTTTTATGTATTTTTGTTTTGCATTTTAGTCTCAAAATGATGATAATAATGATGTTTTTTGTTTTGTTCGACTATTTCGATTAATATTGTTTCACATTTTGAATCTTTGTTTTTTTTGAGGGGTGGAGAGGGAAAGAATGGGAGAAAAATTCTTCGTTTGGATTCTTGGCTGTAATGGAGAGGCCAAAGCTGATGATGAAGTAATTTTAATTTTCTCCTTCATTGAATTTTTGTTATTTTTCTTAATTTTGATCTGTTTCTTGTCTCCAAACACCATCAACCGAATTCAATTTACCTTCGATGACATTAATTTATCCTATAGGAGAAAAAAAGGGTTAGAAAAAGTTTTTTTATGAAAAAGAATATTTCAATGATAATTTTGTCTGAAAATAAATATAATGAGAAAAGAGATCATCTTGAACACTAAACAACCACCATCATCACTGAATATTGTATTCGACAGCTTGATTATGATGATGATGATTGAGACGCATCAATTTTTATTATTAGGATGCATAACACTGAAACAAAAAAACAAACTTTAAATATTTTTTCATTGTTATTCTTTTTTCATTGGAATCTTTATAATGATGATGATGATGATATTTTTGCGCTGGCTATTGAAACTTTTTCCAAAACATCAAATTATGTTTGTTACGATATAAAAATTCTTTTCCATTCAATTTTCCATCCTCCATAGTTTCAGGATCAATTAGATTTATGATGATGCTTCATTTGATTCTAAACCATAATAATAATAATAATAATAAACAATAAAGAGATCATTGCTTTCAATTTTCATTTTCCAGCAAAACAAAAATCGTTAATATGTTTAGCTTACTTGGTTGATTCGTTTCATCTCGTTTGTTTGTTCGTTGGTTGATTCAACGAAAAAATTTTCAATTAAACTAAATGGTCCATATTATTTATTTTTTATTATTATTTTTTCGTTCTGGTTAAGCCAACAACAACAACAAAATAGAATGGATAATTATGATGATCATCATCATCAAAGCCAATGTGTGCAATTTCAATTATTCAATCTAAAAAGATTCAAAGTTAAAAAATACGGGGAAAAGAAAAAAAGTTTTTTTCCAATTTTTGAAAATTTTTAAAAATTTAAATTTTTTTTTCATTTCAAAAATTGCAAAAAAACAAGACAAAACTTACTTGGATTTTTGGTTTTGACAAAGTTTGCATTTGCTGTCACCCGAAAATGGCCATAATAAAAATAGGAACGTGATCATCATTTTCGTTTTCGTTTTTGTCTATTTTTCTCATTGAATAAGAATTTCAGAATTACTTGCTTGCTTGCTTGTTTGTTTTGGTAGAAATAGAGTTCATAAATCTTGAAATTATTATGATTATTATGATGATCATAAATGAATCATAGAATCAAATGAAACAATTTGTATGTTTGTCATAATCAACAGAATCTCCAACTGGTTTTTTTGTTTGTTTCATTCATTTTGATCGAAAAATGAATTGGATTTTTCTTTCAATTCATTCATTCATTTTTTTTCTGCTGTTGTTGTTTCATAACTAAAGAATTTGTTGACCAAACAAATAATGCAACAATTTTATTCTTCTTTTCTTTTTCGGTGGATCCCCTTGACAATAATAATAATCAGAATCAGAATCAGGACCATCACAACAGCTTTTGTGTAGGACTGTTTGAGTAATAAAAATAAAATAAAATAACAATCAATGATTATATTGAACATTTTTAGATTCTTACATTTTTACTTCACAAACAGATGCTACAATGAAAATGAATGGTCATGGTCATAACTAAATTACGATTATTATTATTATGATTATGATGGTGGACAAGTGGTACAATGACGATGACATTGGCAACAACAACAACGATAATAATAATAAGAATTAAAAAATCCAAAGATACCAAAATGGTATGAACATTTGAATGAATTGAACTTCTATAATAATTTTCGGATCAAAATTAAATTATCGGAATCAATTGGATCGAAATTACCGATATTATTAATTGGATTTTCATAACCAGAACAAAAATCTTTTCCGGATTCGAATCGAATGGAAATAAAAAAAAACATTCGAAACTATTTCAACACTATTCATATGACATCTATCGGTAGAAATGGAAAAAAAATCTCCAGATTTCCAAATAACCTTGGATTTTCTGGTTGCTACCACCAAAATAATTTTGAAATGAATCACTTGACGATTTTCAACAACATCATCGTTGCAGTTAAACAACAACAAAACAGACATAAATGTGGAAACAAAAATAGAAAATTTCCACTCTTAAAATAAAACCAAAAACAAACATTGAAAGATGTTTTGTTTGCTCGGTTTATTGACAGCCGAAAATCCATCAATCCAACAAACAATTGATTTTATCGCCATTTTTTTAACGATTATATAGGAGTTATCATCGATACATGGTATGTGTAAAAGTATTTCATTCAATCAATCAATCAATTAATCAAATTAAATTTCTTTTCTTTTTGTTTATCGATCGATGTTTGGCTGTTGTTATATATAAATAGAGCAAATTGAATTGATTCGAAAACTGTATATCGAAAAACGAATTTTGGAAACATTTGAATTATTGTATGAAGATTTCACCAAGAAAAAAAACCAACATTCAACCAAAATCAAAATCCAAAATGTCTGAAATGATATCAAAATATAACAAAGATTCAAAGCCAATGATGTGTGGTGGTCTGGCATCTGAATCAACCGAAATCAGTGATCATGTACGTGAAATGGTAAAAAAATTTCAACCAAAAGTTGAAACGAAATTCGGCCGTAAATTGGAACGATTTGAACCGGTAAAAATTCGTACACAAGTTGTTGCCGGTATAAATTATTTTATTAAATGTCATATCGGTGGTGATGATTATGTTCATATAAGAATTTATGAACCATTACCATGTATGGCACAGGAACCTGAATTGACGGCAATTCATTCGGAATTGAAAAAATTGGATGATCCATTGGAATATTTTCAACATTGATTTTGCAAAAAAAAGAAGATTTTATTTCAAATTTAAATTAATTATTTTTTTTTGTTGTTATCGTTGAATCAAAATAAATAAATAAAACTTGGTTTTTTCCCCAAAAAAGAAAGATTTTCCTATTTTTGACTAGTTGTTTCAGCTTTGTTGTTGTTGTCCATGTTGATTTCGTAAAATCTGATCAACAGCATCGGCTAAATTATCAACAATACCATCCGGTCGAACAAATGGATGATTTTCATTCAATGGTAAATATTTCCCAGTACGAACTAATATACCACGAATACCGGAATTTTGTGCACCTTGTACATCACCAATAATATCATCACCAATCATAATAATATTATCATTAGTTATTGTTGGATCATTAAATGTTTGAATTGCTGATTGAAAATATTCTTTGGATGGTTTACCAATAATCATTGCTTCCAAATCAGTACCATATTCAAGTGCAGCAGTAAAACAACCTAAATCCATTATTAATTCATTACGTTGACGATAATAACGATTACGACCTAATGATATAAGTAAATTATTTGTACGATTAAATGATTCATGTTGTTCTTTCAATAACATTAATAATTGAAAACATTCGTTCAATCTTTCGAATGTAAAATAATGTTCAGCATCACCAATGACAACACAATTTGGATTCGAACGATCAATATCATCGAATTCTGGTTCAAGATCTGAGAATTTTTTAAAGAAAAAACATGAGATAAGATAAGTAATCAAATTAAAAATTACCTGGATAGATAAGAAAATGTGGCCGTAAATTATTATCAATAAGATATTGTCGACAAATCATTCCAGGTGTAATAACTTCATGTTTTTGAAAATCATAACCAAAATTATTTAATTTTTCAATCAATTTTGTTGTGATTTTCATTGTTTCATTTGTAACCAATCGAAATGGTAGACCAGCATGACGAAGTCTATGTAAAAATGTTTGAAAAAAATGTTTTCGATCAATTTAGCAAAAAGCAAAAATACAAATCCATACTTTGAAATAGCATCCAATGAACCATTGATAGCATTGGTTGTACCACTTTCATATAAAACACCTGTTATATCTAATAATAATCCTTTGATTGGTTTAGATAGCCATGATGATTTTGATGCTAAAGCTGCTGCTGATGATGATGATAATTGAGTTGGTGACATTTGTATACAAAAACAAAAAGAATTTAAATAAAAAACTAAATTTATCAATGACAAAAAAAATGAATGTCGAAATAACAAACCACAAAAAAAACAATCAGAATGTATCGAACAATCAATACAAGATGGCGATAGTATCGAATCGAATCGAATCGAAAATAAATGATATCTGAATGTGTATACACCACCCTTGTCAAATCAATCTTCTTGATTTTTCTGGATTCAATTTTGATCAAATTAATAATCTTTTGAATTGTAATCATTATTCAACCATCATTATCATCATCATCATCATCATCATGAATGATCATCAACAACAACAACAAAAAAATATTCATACAGGTGAATTAGTATTGAATGCTTCAACATTGGAAACACAAAAAGCATCAGGAGAATTTGTTAATAATAAATATTTGGTTGAAAATATTTGTTCAATTATAAATAAATTACGTATTTATCAATCGAAAAATTTGACAAAAGATTATTTTGTTGGAATGACCAGTAAGTTTTAAATGATCGATTGAAAAACAAAAACAAAAAAAAACTAATTCCAAATAATCGATTTTTCCTTGTTTAACAGTTCAATTTTCAGATCATTATTATAAAATTGATCTTTCAAAAGGATCAGATGATCGTTTCATAATCGAACGATTCAAGATTAATCGTGATCAAATTAATGAATAAAAGTGGATTCAAACAACAAAAAATGGCAACTTTTGGTCAATTTTTTCTCAATGCATATTTATTATTGTACAATGATGATTATAATTCTTATTTAAAAATATTGAAATAAATCCAATCAATAACGATCATAAACAGCTACAATAACATTATTATGTTGTTTAACATTAATATAATGATCCTGGCAATCGATTCGTATGGCCATTGATTCTTTTTTATTTTCATCCAATTTATTTGCTGATTGTATAATTTTTAATAATGTTGGTGCTAGATTTTTATCACCACAACCATCGGTAGCTAAACAAAGACCATTCATATCGGTAACAATAATGCCTAATTTTGATTCCGATGATGATAATCTGATGAATGAAATGATGAGAAAAATGATACTGCAGCAATCGAAAAGAAAACAAAGATTCGTCGAACAACTTACGTTTCTTTACAGATTTTAGCAATTTTTCTCTCCATTTTTGGTTTTGGTTTTTTGTTTCCAAGAATTTACTTGCCAATCAATCAATCAATTTCGATCGGATTCGATTTTATTTCAATTTTTTTCTTGATTTGTTTTTTATCCTGACAGAACACCCAGATGATAATATTGTCGTATTGAACGATTTATACTCGAAAAGTTTAATATTAAAAAAAAATTATTGAAATGTACTTGCAATCTATGAATACGTAAACGGTTGAAACGTTCGAATCCGAAGAACGCAATTACATTTTTTTTCTTTTCACAAATAATTTACTTCGATAAAAAATTATTTCATAAATGATAATCATTATTTTGTTTTAATCAAATTAATATTATTTATAATTATTAAGGATAAGAAATTGGTGAAAATTGTTTGTTTTGTTTTGAATTTTGGAGAATGGAGGGGAGTATAATAATAATGTCAAATAAAAATGAAGGGAATATTCTTTGTTTGTTTGTGTGTGTGTATTTCCTGATCATTTGATGAATTTTCATAATCATTTTGAATTGTCTTAATCGATGATAATGATGGTGGTGGAGGTGGTGAATTTTGAATTTTTACGTTTTTTGTGTGTATTTGGGTGTTTAAATTGCTGTATGATGATGTGTTTGCAGGTAAAAATTTCGTTTTGATTTTGAAAAATACAGAATTTCTTTTGCCTGGTGTTTAGAAGAAAGTGAAAAGAATTTTTTTGAAAAAAAATTAACAACAACAACAACAAAAAGTGATTGATTTCAAGTGTTCGAAGAAGATGAAGAAGAGAAAAGTATTTATAACAACAGTGTGTGTGTGTGTGAATTATTTTACACAAGAAATTCACCGAAAAGAATTTTTTTTTGTTTAGTTCATCGGGGGAGTTTTTGGTGGTGCTGTTTTGGTGGCAGGAAATTTTTTTAAAATTTTTTAAAAATTGACAACACTATACAAAGAGAAAAAAAAAGATAAAAACTTTAGTGTGAATATGAAAGTGTGCTGAAAAAAACAAACAACTAGAATTTTGGGTGATCATCGAGGTATAAGTATTTTGTGGATTTAGATGGTTTTCTGTCTGTTTATGTACAAAAAATTTGTGATTAAGATTTTTTTTTACACATTACATTAGCTAAATGGAAAATTTGAATCCTGTGTTGGGGTTTGTGCCGGGGTGCCGCCATTTTATATTACAAAAAAATTTTACAAATGTTGATGAAAAACTTTGAAAACAATCATCCTGGACCATGATGTTTTGGTGACATTTTGCAGATGACAATGACGATGAGAAATGTGGAAAAGATCAATTAGAAGAAAGAAAAAAAGCAACAATTCGAGGAAAAAAAACAAAAGTAAAATTTACACAATAATAATCATTATAGGAAACGGCGAACAAAAATTTACACAGGAGAAAAAATTAAATCAAACCAAAGACGGATTCGATAATATAAAAACGAAGAAAATATCTTGAGAATGAATGAGATGAATCTTTCCATTTTCTTTTCATTTGATGATAATGATGATGATGAGATTTGAGAACAATTTGTTTTTTGCTGAGTTTTTGTTTTTGTTAACCAATACGAAAAAAAAATATCACAGATCCTGATTTATAGATTTTGGATAAATTTAGAGAAGAAAAAAACAGGATTTTGTTTGTTTGTTTGATATTTTGCTGGTCGGTTTGCTTGGAATTGAATTTTGGATCTTGCGTCGATCATCATAGGTCATCATCATCATAGGTCATCAACGGTCATCGAGAATCATCATCAGTGGTGGTGGTCATTTGTAAAATTCTGTAATATAGATGGCTGGCTGGCTGGCTACACCATTAGTAATGTGTGTGTGTGTGTGTGTTTTGAAACAAGTGTATCAATGGGTTAATTTTTGAAATTTTCTAATTCTTCGAATTTCACACATCAATCAATCAATTTGTGTTTGCTGTGTTGGATTTTTTCGAAAAAAAATTCTTTCACTTTTTGTTTGTGAGTGTATTTCGGCTAAATTTTTTTCAAAAAAAAAAATTCTGCTGCTATATTTTTTGTTTTACAAACTTATTATTTTCAAACTTAAAAAAATAATGAGAAAAAAAAACAAATGAAAATATATGAATGAAGAATGAATGAATGAGAAAAAATTCTTTGTTGATGAATTATGATTATGATTTCTGTTGTTGTTTTGTTTTTTAAATTGACAAAATTAGTGTGTGTGTGTGGTGTATGTATAAGTATAAAGAAAGAAAGAAAAACATATTTATAAATGTCTTGAATATTAATCTTCAAATTCATGTTTGTGATGTGTGTGTGTGTGGTGAATGATAAAATATATGTTAATGAAATGTGAAATTATCATCCATTCATTCATTTAGAATTAGAATTTAGAATAGTTAGACAATATTTATATATAGCAAATAGAATTAATAAATTCAATAATTTTGGTCTCTCAAAATTCTACTATTAAAATGTAGTTGTGATGGGTAAATTGTTGTTTTGTTTGTTATTTTGTTTTCTGTAATTATTATTATTAATTATCGTAACACTAATGGTGTACCAGCAGTTGTAGCTGTTGCTGCCGAAGCAGCTGCAACTAAACCATTACTACCACCTGTCACCACTGATGATGATGATGGTGTTGATGATGATGATGATGATGCTTGACCAATACCTGGCGATACGGATGATGATCCAGTACGACGGTCAACTTTCATCGATGCTGTTGTTGATAATGATGATGGTGAACCACCATTTGTTGATTCAATACCATAACCACCTGATTAATTGGAATGAAATTAAAAATTTTAAAATCATGTTAATATTAATTTATTCTTACTATTCAATGATGATGGTGTGAATGGTTGGGCCGATAGATTAAACTGTGAGTATAGATAATTTGAACGTGGTACAAATACCGGTGCATTTGGATTTGCACCGTTTCCTGTTAATGAATTCGATCCAGTTGGATTTGAATTAGATCCATTAGCGCCCATTAAACCACCATTGGTTAATAGACCAGCAGCATTTGAATTTGTTTGACTATTCGATTTGACTGCGGCATTCGTTGGTGTTGTTGCTGATGATGATGTTTGTACACGATTGGTTCCGAATCCTCCAGATGTTAATGAAGACACTACACCAGCCAATGAAGAGGCACGTGATTGACCAATAACCGATGTTGTTGGAGGTGTTGATGATGATGCTGGATGAGCTTGTTGTTGCGGTGAACCAGCTCCAGTCATTCCGGTTAAAAATTTACTTGCCGAATTGGCACTAAACAAACCGGAAGCAGGTGACCATGATCCTGGATGTTGCATGGCAGCTGCAATTTGTTGCTGCTGTTGTTGTTGAAAATTGAGATGTTGTTGTTGTTGATGGTAGAAATATTGATACGATGAAAATGGTCCAGATGGTGTACCTGTAGGTGGTTGATTCGTTGTTTGAGAACCGGCAGCACCGGCTGCAGAAAATAAAGATCCAGCTGATGCAGAACCGGAACCAGGTCCGCCTGTTCCAAATACTGAACCAAGACCATTAACAGTTGCACCAAGTGAATATGCAGCATGATGATGATCAATACCACTAAAGCCATTGGTCAATGATGCAGCACCACCAACTGGTGATGAACCGATTCCATGATGAGAATTAGGTGTAGAACCAGCAGAAGTAAGTGCACCATTTGGTACATTTCCAGTTCCATTCATAGCATGATAAGAAGCGACACTATTATTCACGACACCACCTAAATTTGCCGATGTTGTCGAAATGAATTGATTCATTAGACTGGCTGCTGCAGGTGATTGTTGACGATTTTGTTGTTTAGCACCAGCTGATCCAGCCAAATGGGCTGCAACAGCCAAATGATTATTCGCAGCTATCGATGCAAGATGCCGTTGTGCTTGTTGTTGATGTGCCAAATGTGACAAAGATTTCATTTTCATACGAGAAGAATTTTCAAACGCCTGAATGAAAAAAAAAAAAGAAAATTAGCTCAAAATCAAACAACAACCAAAACTTTCAAAAAAACATACCGTTTTCGATCGATGTTCAATAGATCGTTGTTCTAATTCATCAATATTGATTGAATCGACAAAATTCTCTTTACGGCCATCACCTAATTTGGCCACTATACAATATGATCCTTTGTTTTCGCCAAACCTGATTTTTTTTTGAAAAAAGAAATTGTATTTACAACAATTTTTTTATCTTTGACAATTCTATCTATCTTACCGGCAGGTAACTTCGGATGGATCAATCCATAATGTCAATTCGACTGGCAAACGTAATGCATCATAACTAATACCTGCATGTTGACATGCCATTTCAATTGAATAATCAACACGACAATTTTGATTTATTCTTATACAACGATATGCTTGTCCTTTGGACGGATTTTGTGGATACCAATGATTTTGAAAACGTTGTGTTAATATTTCCATTAATTTTTGTGAAAATTTTTTAATTTTTTCTTCATTTAATTGTTGTTGTTGTTGTTGACTATTATTATTATTATTACTATTAGAAGTTGTCGTTATTGTTGAATGAGAATCTTGTGTCAATAATTTTGTTGAATCTCCACATTTTGTTGTTGTCGTTGAATTATTATAACTATTATTATTATTATTATTATTATTTGAAGATGTTATCGAACCATTTGACGTTCCACTATTACTATTACTACTACCACCACCGGATCCACCTGGATCCGGATTACTTTTTGTGGCCAAAAGCCTAGTCAAAAATGTAACTGCCGCTTCAATCTCTTCACGCATAATAATTGTTTGTATAATAAAACGTTGCGTTGTCGTTTTGGTCGCAATGATGATAATGATAATGATGATATTGATTCGAATGAAATTTTTTTCAATATTAACAGTTTTCGATGATGATGACAACAATGATGATGATGATTATAATAAACAATTAAATGATCATTTTGTTGTTTTAATGTTGATTGTTTATCTAAGTCAATTTCAATTTTATTATTTGATATTATTGTTCGTAGTTTTTGTTGTTGTCGTTGTTCATACATCGATAATCGTTTATAAGCGATTATGATGATTAATAATAAGTGAATCAAATTCTATCGGTTGCTGCTGTCATAGAAAAAGAAAAAGAAAAAAGAAAACTTCAAATATATTCAATCAGAAAAAGAATATTCACCACACACACACATATGACTATGCAAAAATTTTTTTTGTTTCAAATTTGAAACAACAAAGAATTTCAATGCAATAATAATCTATATTCATTACACATAATTCTCAATGTTGTCATCAAACAAACACAAAAAACTTTGAATAAAACACACACAAACACACAAGGTAAAAGATATTCCCAACCAAAGTTGTTGTTGTTGTTGAAATGATGATGAAAAAAGAAATTTGTTTGATTGAAACCTCTTCTTTAAAAAAAAAGCATTTACATCATTAAAAATGTGAAAAACTCAAATGTTGAAATGAAAATACGAGCAACAAACACAAAAAAAACAGCAGCAACAGCACCACCACCACCACCACTATTCACACACACATATACACACAGTGGTGGAAAAACTTTCTCGTTTTTCTTCGTCAATGAAAGTTTTTTTGGTTGTTATGATTTTTTTCTTCTTCTTTTTTCCAAATAAAATAAGGATGTATATTTTTTTTTCGTCGTTGTTGTTATTATTATTGCTGATTGATGTATTTTTTTTGTTTGTGAAACACAAAAAAAAACAGAGTTTGCGCGATTCAAAACATTTACAAACAAAAAAAAAGTAATTTCGTTGTCGTAATTTTACACAAGTTTTTCTGGTTGATTATTTTTTGAAAAGAATAAAAAACATTTATGAAAAAAAAATGAAATGAAATGAAATTATTAATTTTAAATGAATATTCTTTCCCGAAAGCAAAGAAGAAGCTAAATAAATTCTCCTGATTCCTAAAAATGATAAATCCTAGCGTGATTTCGATATTTAAAAAAAAACAAAACAGAAAAATTCTAATTCAAAATCAATTTAAAAATCCAAAACAAAACAAATTTTGAAGAAAACTGTTGAATTATCAAACCTCAATGTTTTAAGTGTGTGTTTTTTATCACAAATCAAATACCATTTATGTATAAAAATGGTAGTTTTTGTTTTCAATAAAAAAAAATAGTCATATGACAAAATGGTAGAAATGTGGCATCCAATTTTTTTTTTATTGATACCACACCATTATAGACAAGTGTGTGTGTATATATCACAAATGAGTTTTAAACGGATACCACCAAATGAAACACACGTGATATGTTTATTGTTGATAAAATGATGAAGGATATTTACAATGGGAGAGAGAGAGAGAAAAAAAACAAATGAAATTCAAATCTTTTTCGGTTGTCAATTTGTTTTTTGAAAAATTTCACATGCAAATTTATATGACAATCAATTCTTTCAAAAGATTTTGCATCAATCAGGTATTTTTTTACAGCTCTCTCATTCCTTACATTATCTTTCGATCGGATTCAGAGATTGATTTCGGTAAACAAAAATTTTCTTACCTTTATCGTTGTTGTCAATGTCGAAATCGAATCAAATTCCTATGTCAAACCAAAGAAAGAAAAATTGATAAAAAATTTTAGATATGATGACCAACCAAGAAAAAAAAACAAAAAGCATTTCACAATGATAAAACTGATTGATCAATACCTTTCGTGTGATTATTCAGGAAAGAAGATAAACAAAACGATTCGAAACGTTATCGAAACGATTTTTTTTTTTCGTTTGTTCTCGTCGTCGTTATTGTTGTTGTTACTATTGGCAATTGCATTACACACACATTGAAACAACATTAACAACAACAACAAAAAAATCAATGATAAATTCACTTAAAAATTTAAATAATTCTTTAAACACAGAAAAATTTTTCAAATAATCATTGTTTATGATTATTTGGGCGAGCAATAAATGTTGTTGTTGGTTGATGATAATGTTTATTTGTTTGTTTATTGTCGTCGATGATGATGATGATGATGATGATGTCGATGTTAATGTTGTTGATGATGATGAGGATGATGGTAATGATTGAGCCGAGCACTATTTTCAGATTAAATTTTTTTTTTTTTTGTGTGAATTGAATTGAATTGAATGACGACAACATGCAACAACAAACACAAAAAAAGAGGATTGGAAAAAATTAACATTCGAAAAAAAAGAACAAAAGATATATGTGTGTGTGTGTGAATAGAAGAAGAAGGGGAAAGCCTTGATGATAACGGTAGTAGCAGTAATTTAGTGTAATAGCAGTAATTTGATGATAGTAGTGGTTTGAAAATATGAAGATTTTTAATGTAGGCGGCATCATAGTGGTTCGGATAATAGTGAAAAAATTTTTGAATGCCACATCATTGTCCGCGAGAAGGATTCATATAATATCCCAAAACGGCTAGTAGCATTATTGAATGAAAAGATTGTTGTTAGCAACAAAACAAAAAACAACAATTCAAAGACGACGTCATCGTTAAAAAAAATTGTTCGTTATTTATGAATGAATTTCGAACAGGAAAAAAAAAATATATTATCATTAACGATGATTAGTCTGACATCTTTGGATTGACAATCAAAATTTGATCCAGATTTTTTTTTTGTTTGAAAAATTTCGTACCATTTTCATTTTGATTCCACAATATAATCGTCTACCGAGTAATCGACGATCCAATAAAACCAAGACTATATAGAATTGGATGAATGAATGAATCCAGAATATTCGTCATCTACTGCTCATCAACAATGTTATTGAAAATATCAAGATTTTGATTCTATATAATTTCAAAAAGAAAACAAACAAAAACAATCAAATGTTTTCCATTTAATTCCATGTCATTCACCAGAACTGAAAGAATACATTCCCTATTGTATATTCCAAATGGAATTTAGCAAGAAAGAAAATCAAAACAAAGAAACGAAACGAACGAAAATCTAATCAATTTCAAAGGTGTATTTTGTGTTAATTTATCAACAAAATCCAATCAAACATCCTTTTTTTAGATCCAAAATACAAGTCTTTTTTTTTGTTCCTTAATGGTATGTATTTTGTTTTGTTTTTTGCTCAATTTCGAATGTTAAAAAAAATGAAAACAAACAAACAAAACAAAAAAAGAATGAAATTTTCCATCCATTAAATCCTTTGATTATTTTGGTGGAAAATTTTTTGATTTTTCCGGCTTTTCAAAAAAATATTTGAATTTCGTTCGATTTTTTGTTTTTGTTTTGTTTTTGCTTTTTGTTCGATTTTGATATCGAATAAATTCAATAAGAAAAAGTTTGTTTTCTCTCTGTCTCTCTCTCTCTCTCGTAAATTTTTCCATACGAAAATAATCATTTGTTTGATTGAACATTGAACAGTCATTAATATCATTTTTTTTTTGATTTTCAAAAATTTCTCATTTTGGAAATTTCCTTTCAGCCAAAAACAAAAACAAACTGCAAAAAAAACCATTTTTAAAAAAAATCATCAAATAAATATTGGAGGTTTGAAAGTTAAAGTTGTGAAGAGAGGGAGAGAGAGAGAGAAATTGATAATGATATCGACGAAATTGATTGATTGATGATCGATCGATCGATCGATTGATTGATTGAATCCGTTCGATACATCCATTCATTTTGAACGGTGAAATCAAAATCAAATCAACTGTATCCGGTTGATAGAAGGTTTATTCATTTTTGAAATCTTATTGCTGATGCTTGTCTTGTTGTTGTTGTTGTTAGAAGAAATATTCAGACGAAAAAAAATTGAAAAATATCAACAACAACGATGATAACAATCTTAAACAGACAAACAGATAACGATGATGATGGAAAAATCCTTGACATTTTTTTTGTTGTTGGTTGTATTTATTTTAGATAACAAAAAAAACCTAATCTTTATCGATCGATCGATGATGTCAATGATGATGTCGATGGTCTGAAGGGAAAAGAATTAAGAAATTAGTTAGTGAAAAAAAGTCAAATTCCAAAGGTTTTGTTTGTTAAATCAAATAAGAATTATAATGACATTTTTCGGTACAATTTGGGTAGAAATATCGTCCATTTTTTGTTTGTTTGTTGACAAAAACAAAAACCAAAAATCTCGAAAACCAAAAATCCTAATTTTTTTTCCATTTTCTGTTTTAATTGTTATTAATCAAATTTCTTCTGATGATTATCATCATCATTATTGTTATTGTTGTTTTTGTTTAATCAAATTTTTTTTTGATCAAAATCAAAATTGATTATAGCAGCAACAACAATATCGATTGATAATTGGATATAATGGGGTTTTGTTTATCAATCGATTGAAAATGAAGAAATCAAATTATGGTCAGATATTCAATGTAATCAATGGAGTTGAAAATAGTCTCTCTTTTTTGGCTGTTTGTTGCCGGTTAGTAACAAGACGGTTGTTGATGATGATGATAATGGTTTGATGGATCCCATTGAAAAATCAATCAAAAAATTTTTTTTTTTCATTTCCAAATGCACATTCGTAAACATTCGATGTTATTGATGATCATTGATGGCCATTCTAAATTTAGCCAAAAAAAATGAAGAAAAAATTATCACCAAAAAAAGATCATTCGAAGAAAAACATGCAATATTGATTGAAGAATTGCCCCTTTCATTCCTTTCTTCTTCATTTTTTTCAAAGTTCGAATTCGAATGTTTATCTTTTTCATTCGAATGTTTTTTTTTATGAGCCAAAAAACTTGTTTGATTTCATTTTGGATTTCATCGCTTGATTTTTTACTTGGAAATGCCAAAAAAATCGATTCTGGAATTGATTTGATTTGATGATTTTATCATTGAAAATCATCATTTCATTTTCTCTGTTTCCAAATCTTTATTCGATCAAAATTTGAAGTAAAAAGAGAGAAACTGAAAACTTTTGTTTCAACATTTTCTCTTGGAAATGTGAAATGGCCATCAGTTTCAACAAAAAAATCTGTTTTTGTCATCAAAAAATCAAATCTACCTCTATACCACTACTCTACTCTTTTTTGATAAAAAATTTTTGCCATTTAATTATCATCATCATCATCATCATTGAAACAACAAAAAAATAAGAATATTAAATTGGAACTGGCCTATATTGAACGTAGTGGTATGAAATCAAATGAATTTTAAAAATAAAAAAATTGTGATAATGCTGATTATAAAGCCTGTTGCTTTCTTGTTGTTGTTGTTTTCTGCTTCTTCAAAATGTGTTTGTTTGTTTGATGTAAACATAAACATCAAATTATGAATAATATTTTTCTCCGATTGATTAATCTGTTGTTGTTGTTGTTTTGTAACAAACAAACAAACAAAAAGAATGTCTAAATCAAATCATCGAATCATCACCATTAAATCATCAAATCAATTAAATATTGTCAACATTTTTGTTCAAATCGAATGAAAATGATGATGATTTTTTGATTTTAGTTTTCATTGACAAACACTTTCCAAACTCTATTGACAATATGAACAACAACATGCAAAATCAAATTAATCGACAACAACAATTGGATAATGATAATCATCTAATTGATTATCATGTACCATATTTGTTAAAAATTTTAATTGAAAAAAGACATGATAGTAATAATAATAATGATAATAATGATAATTTATCAAGATTAAAATTATATCTTGATCCACAAATGTTAAATTATCAAATCCTACAGACATTGATTGTAAAAGGATTTCATATTGAATGGTTTGGAATTTTTTATTTGTTTTAATTTTTTTAAATTAAAATTTTTTTTCAATTTTTTTCCGTTTAATTCAAACAGTGATTTTTTCCTGTATTATCTTCTGGACGAACAATTTCATCATTTACATTTTGGTCATCATCAACAACAAAAACATCGTTGTCGTATTTCATCTTGTTCATCAACAACATCAACATCATCTGAATCTTCATCCACATCATCATCATCATCTACATCATCACCGAAATATTTAGCAATTAAAAATGATAATGATTTACAACAAGCATTAAATTATTCATTACAATCGACAAATCCATTATTATATTTGGTTATTGATTTAGTTGATTTTAATCAATTATTACGAATGAGTTTTCGATCATCATCCACCAATAATCATAATCATCATTTGATGAAACAACAACGAAAAAAAGATTCAACATCATCAAATAATGGTGATGATAATGATGATAATCAATTATCAACCAAAGCAACAGCAACAACAACAATGGATTCTGGTTCAAAATTACTTAAATATAAAGTACTATCTGAATGGGATATTGTTACATCATCGGATATTATACTTGCACAAACATTAACAAAAACAAATTCATTTATATTGAATCAGATTGATAAATTAAAACAACGTGCACAAATACAACATTTACGTTTACAACAGGCAACTGAATTATCATCAACAACAACAAAAAATGTCAAACGTAAAGCATTGATGACAGCAACAAATTCATGGTTACTTGCTGAAGCAATTTATCAATATTTAATGTCAAATGATGATAATAATAATAATAATCGTTCAGAACATGAACCAATCAGTGATATATGGCCATTTTTAGATCAAGAAGGTCGTGTACGTTGTCAACGTGATTTTCGTATTGCAATTTATCGTCGTAGTATGGATCCAACATTACGTCGTATTGGTTGGAAACATTTACTGAATGTTTATCCGGATGATTATACTGGTCAAGAACGTATTGATTTTATTCGTATACGATCAGAAACATATTATCAGATGCGTAATCTATGGCAACAAAATCGTTGGTCAGATCCTGAAGTTAGAAATGTTTGTAATATGGTTAGAAAAGATGTACGACGTACTGATCGTCATCATCATTTTTATTGTGATCCAGATAATGATGGTTGTGGTGATGATGATGATTTCGATGATTGTCATGGCCAAATAACAGATCCAGCTAATTATTCAAATTGCCACATTGATAATAATAATGAAAATCGTGGTCATTCAAAATCCAAATCAAAAACCAATTCAAATGTTATTAGTTTGTTCAATATATTGGTCACTTATGCATTAAATCATCGTTATCGTTATTGTCAAGGTATGAGTGATTTAGCATCACCATTATTATATGTTATGAAAGATGAATCACATGCATATATTGCATTTTGTGCATTAATGCAAAGATTGGGTGAAAATTTTTCTACCGATGGTCTGGCTATATCAAGAAAATTTCATAATCTTAAACAATTACTTCAACATTATGATCGTGAATTTTATCATTATCTACAACAAGAAAATGCTGAAGAATTATTATTCTGTTATCGTTGGATATTGTTGGATTTAAAACGTGAATTTCCATTCGATGATGTACTTGAAGTATTGGAAGTACTTTGGGCATCAATACCACCACAATCATCATCATCATCTTGTCAAAAAACATGCGATTCTAAAACATCGTCGTTGAATCTTATGAATCTATTTGATACGGATTTTATTTACGTACCGAATCGTAATTCTAGTGATAATAATAATAATAATAATCGTAAACATCGTCGACAACAAGAAACAGAATTGTTGGAAAAAATTATTGAATCTCAATCGATTGATGATGAACAACAAAATTCATCAACGAAACAATTGCAAGAACGAACAAAATTAAAAACAATAAAATTTATGCCAAACATGTTGAGTAATGATTCACAAACAACCAAACAGGTATTGGATTCACCATCATCACCAATCAACGATTTTCAAATTTCATCATCATCATCACAAACATCTGGTCGGACATCAGCACCACATCCTTGGGATAGTCCAAATTTGATTACAAAATCTCGACAAAATAAATTTGATTTCAATATTTGTCAGCAACAACAACAACAAATTCAATCATCTAGTCAAAAACATTATTGTGATTTCGATTCATTTAGTGGTTCAAGTTATGATGGTGATTGTGAATATGATGAAGATCTAATGTCAAATAAATCGTTGATCGAACAGGATGCTGATGACTCGTCAGATTCGAAAAAACCAATCATAGATGATGTATCATCAACATGTTCAACATTTGATTCCGGTATTCAACGTTCGAATACGATTACATCGTATCAAGGTAATGATAATGATTTTATTATTGATTATTATTGATTTTATAATTTTTTCTAATTGATTTAAACTAGATTTAACTCAAAATCGTTGGAAAGAAACATCGACAAATTCGATTCGCTGTCATGCTTATCCTATTTCCAGTTCTCATTGTAATGGTGATTGTTCCGATGATGATAATGATAATGATGTCGAAGGAATTTCAACTCCTGTTGATAATCGTATTGAAATTTTATCGAATCTTTCTGTTGATCATGGTTATCTAACTGATGGTCATCCACAAAATCGATTCGATTATTCTCAACCATCAACATCAAGATTACGATCACAATCAACACCAACTTTTCAATCACGTGTAATAAATTGTCCACCTAAAGCAAAACAATTACTTGGATATGATCCAAGTTTTGATGATGATTATTCGGATGGTTCAAAAACGATAGTTTCAACAACCAGTTCACCATTGCAACAACAACAAACTCCTGATGTACGAATAATCGAAGCAATTAATGAACAATTTAATAATTTATCGGCAAAATCTGTATCGGAAGAAATGCTTAATTCTACTATCAAACAAATGGAAACGTTAAAAGTAAATTCAACAATGACAACATCAAATCATTCATCATGTAGTTCATCATCATCGATTGAATTATTACCAACACCATCTGAAGTACTATTAATGGAACAACAAGATCAATTACAACGACAAAAACAATTTGAAGAAAAATTAATGGAAGAAGATTATCCATTAATATCACCCGAACAATTAGGTTCAAATGATGCATTCATGTTGTTTATTTGTTTAACATTATTATTACAAAATCGTGATCATATTATACAAAATCATTTGGATCGTAATGAAATACAAATGTATTTTGATGGATTAATACGTAAACATAATGTACGATCGGTATTGCAAGATGCACGTCATTTATTTCATTCATATTTAGCCGAATGGCGACATCGTCATCGTCAACATCATAATTATCATCATAATCATCAACATTCACGGTCATCATCCGTTACAGATGAACGTGCATAATCTAATTCTTTGTTTTTTTAAAAAATGTTTTTTTTGTGATTTTTATTCTTAATTAATTTTGTTTGAAAAAAAATTTTACCGAAAAATAAAAAACAAAAAAATAAAATAAAATCTATGTTTCTGATATCGTTGATGATTTTGGTGATTTGCGTTCAAACATAACAATCAATTCACAACGTTCAGTATGTGGAAATAGATCAATGGCAACAGTTTCGATTGGTATAAATGGATCTTTATGATATGCACGTGATATTGGTCGACATAGGCTATAAATAAAATTAAAATCATGAAAGGGTTAAATATAGAAAAACAAACGAACAAAAAAACATACTCAATGAAATTATTACGGGCAGCCATTGCTTCACAAGCAACATATATAACACGACGAATTTTTTGATTATTTCGTAAACATTTGATTATATTTGCGGCTGATTCAATCAAAATATAAGAAATTCGATTAAAAATACAAAAATAAAGAGAGATAGATAGAAAAAATAACATACGTAATCCATTTCTTGGTGGATCCAATATGGCAACAAAATCTGCATCACGTTCTTTTTGACTGATACGATCCAATACAGGTCCGACTAATTTTTCGGCACGACCACAATGAAATTCAACATTTTCAATATCATTATGTTTAGCATTGAATCGGGCATCTTCGATAGCATCTTCATTTAATTCAAATCCTAAAACTTTTTTCACACGTTTAGCCATACAAAGACCAATGGTTCCAGTTCCACAACAAATATCCAATACAATTGTTTCCGGACCACAATCGGCAAGTTCGACAATTTTTCCATAAAGTAATTCAGCTGCTTGAATATTAACCTGGAAAAATGATTGTGAACTAATACGAAATTCAAGATAATTATCATCTTGTGGTAATTTTAATCGTTCAAAAATATGTTTTTGACCACAAATAAAACGATATTGATCACAATGATTCGAATGTTTATCTTCAACTATTTCCACATAAACCGAACGAATACACAAATCTTTGGATTTTGGTTGTTCAAAATATTCACATAATTTTTGACATTCACAATCAAGTTCTGTATCGGTCATTGTTGACTGGCGTGTTAATCGTATCGATATTAATGATTCATTTTGTCTATTTAAACGAACTAAAATTTGTCGCCAATAACCTTCATGTGTAATAGGATCATGACCATCCAGCGTAGTTTTTTCATTAAGATAACATTGAAAATATTCTAAAATTAATCGTGCTTGTTGATTAATAATTGGACAATTTTCTGGTGGTTTAACAACACGTACAGAACCTTCACGATAGAGGCCAAGACGAAAACCAATTTGTCGATCCGAACCGATATTAAATTCATATTTATTACGATAACCATTGATTATTGGTGAAGGGAGAAAATTTTTTTTCAATTTTTCCGGAGCAATATTACGAAACCAATCGGTTGTTGTTGAACGAAGTTCTGGTCCTGGATTTGTATATTTAAAATCCGATGCACATTTTTGCCACATTAATTTTAATAATTCTAATTTTCGATCAATTTGTTCAGTGTATGGAATATTCCATAATGAACAAACTTGATCATTAACAATTTTATCTCTTTCTTCGGCCGTTTCGGAATTGATATAATTTTGATCAACACTGTTTTTATGATTATCATCCATTTTACATTCATTATTGGTTCGATGTTTTTGATTACGATTTTCCGTTAAACGTTTTTTGATCAATGGATCAGGTAATGGTTTTGATTCCTGACAATATAATTGTTGTCCACGAAATTTTAAACCATTCAATAATTTCAATGTCTGTGATCTTTGCATTTCATTTTTAAATGTTATATATGCTTGTGATTTTTTCATTGATTTTATTGGAAATAATTTCATTTTACGATATTTAATTTGTTTTTGTCGTAAAAATTTCAGAAATGCCTAAATGAAAATAAATTTTTTTTAAAATTGTAAAAAAATATTCATGTTTTTTATCTAACTAACCGGATATTTTAAATTTGCCGGTAAATTATTGATTTCAATTTTAAATATTTCACTTGTTTGTGATTGTTGTTGTTCTGGCTGTTGTTTCGTATAGCCAAATGGATCGAGTAATTTTTCAGTCGGTTTATCAGATTGTTTATCGTTATCATCATCATCGATATCTTTTTCTTTTTCATTTTGATTATCATCCATTATGATTTGATGTTCAGGATTTTCAACTTCCATTTTCGTTTTTGATTTGAAATTTTTATCCAAAATAAACACACGTGATTTTGAAATGTTTTGCATTTTTAAATAGCCAAAAATGAAAAAGAGCCACTCGAAAAAAATAGCGACAAAAATATCATCAACAACAACGTTTAGTTCATAGAAATTAGCTCTTTTTTTTGTTTGGCTATTTTTTTGAGCAAGAATATGATTACGCAATAGAGAATAATTTTGAAAATCAATGCCATCTAGTTAGATTATTTGGAATTTATTAAATATTCAAATTTTTGTTGTTGTTGTATTATCGGTTTGGTTATTGTTATTGATAATCATTATTATTATTAAATTGGAAAATTACTATTCAACCGGTGCTGTTCGTTCCCATGATGTTACTGGTAACATTCCTGACCATTGTCCGTCTTTATTTTTCGGTGATTTTGATGATCGTGGTCGAAATTTTGATGATGATGATGATTTAGTTGGTGATCGTCTACGTTGAAATTTTGATGATGATGATGATGATTTAGTTGGTGATCGTCTTCGTTGAAATTTTGATGATGATGATGATGATGATGGTGTTGGTGATGATGATGGTGATCCTCGTGATCTTAATTTACTACCACGACTATCATAAGCTGATGATCTACGACTTGATGAATATGGATTCAAAATTGAACTATTATCTTGTTTTCTAATCGAACTATTACTACTAAAACGACTCAGACGACTAGAACGACTGGAACGACTGGAACGACTCAAACGACTGGAACGACTCAAACGACTAGAACGACGACTACTAATTCTTGATGATGATGATGATGATGGTGATAAAAAATATTTTACAATCGAACTAAATGATTTTTGTCTTATTGATCGTTTTTGTTGTTCTAATTGTTCACGCCAAATATCAGCATCAATATTCATTGGAAATGGTGATAACGGTTTATCTTGATCAGATTTTTTTGTTATACAATAATAACAATATGGACAATATAAAATTATAAATGTAATTAATAATGTTATAGCAATAATTATTGCAACTAAAATCCATATTATTGATTGTGATTGAATAAAATCCCAAAATGTCCATGGAAACCAATAATCTGGATTATATGTATTTGGATCATAATCAAAACTAATATTCATAACAGTACTATTCGTTAACCAATGATCAACAGGTGGACAATGACTAAATATTGAACGATCCATATCGTTTGTCATTGATGGTTCTTTTAAATATGAACGTAACCATCTACCAACATCAGTATCCAATTTAGTTCGATCAATATTACCACGTTTAAAATATGTTTCTGAACAATGAAAATAATCACGTATTTGTATACGACGACAACGACATTTTAATAATGAATTTTCAATCCATTCCCATTCATGATCAATTTGAAATATGAATATAAAATTACCAATTATTAAATGAAAATAATGATTTACAATAAACATTGTTTGAAGAAATGGTATTTGAAAAAAATTTTCCGATTGTTTTAATTGAAATGGACCTGGATTACCATCGATATCTGAAACAGCAACATAGATTTGAAGCTTTTTTTTGTTGAAGAAATTGGAAAAAATGAATGAAAAAAAAATTAACTGTGTTTTCGATGAATGAAAAAGGAAAAACAATTTTACCTTGATAAAATCATTATGATTAATAACTAGCCAAAGATAATTTTGATCTTTTTCCTTATCAATCGCAAACATTCCGGTAATTATATCGAATTTATTTGCATCACGTAATTCTTTATCAAAATTTATTGAATCAAATATTCGATGACGATCATTATTTGGATTAACAACTTTTTTATCACCAATATTCATAACAGCTGTTTGTAATGAATTAATTATTGTACGATTATAACCAATCAATAATAATTCTTTATCCATTTGTAATAAACTGGTTGCAAAACGAACATGAAAATTTAGATTCCAAAAATGTAAAACTTTTTCCGTATTAGTAATATCGAAACTATTTCCACTGGTTGAATCAGCATGAGTGTAAATAAACATCCAACGTCCTTGAAATAGATAATATTTTCGATTTCTTGGATCATAATAAATTGAATCAATTAATGGCCATATACACGGGTTAATTGGACAATCAAATAATGATTGTATAGGGATGATTGGAAATAATAATTCCCATGATATTATTGGACAATGTAAACAAAACATTGTTGGCATATAATAACCACTACGAAATAGATATAATTGCATTACTAAACGATCTGCCTGTAAATACCATATATCTGGTCGATATATTGCATCCATATGACCTAATCGATCTTTTTTATCGATTTCTAATTCCAAAATAACTAAATTTTGTATCATCGAAAAATATATGGATGATAATCAATTCATCAAAAACCAAAAATGAAAAAAAAATCTTACCATGATTTTCATGCATAACAGCCGATGTATGTGAAACATAATCATAATATGGATGATTATAAAGTACAAAAAATGATGGATATTTTGATGTTGTTGTTGATTTTTGTGACCAAAATATACTAATTGAACGTATATTTGTTAATTCTGAACGAAATATATTTTGTAAAAGATCGGCAAAATTTATTTTTGAAAATTCGGCATTTATTTCGGCCAAACGTTTTAATTCGGGTAAATGTTGATGATGAAATGCTAAACGTTTTGATTCAGTTGATTTAGTTGGTAGATAATAAATTGAATCTAAAATAATAACAATCATTTTAAATGATGATGGTTGTTTTAAAAAACCACTACATAAAATACGACCAATTTCATAACAAATTGATCTTGGATTCATTATTTGTGGTATAAAATTTCTATTTATTGTTTCCCAACATTCATAATTACATGAACGATCTGAACGATGAAAATAAACAAGTATACCATGTTTACCAAGATCAATTAAAAAATATAAACGACCATATGCATAATTTGCTAATGATTGATGACGACAATTACGTACTTTTTGATTATCATTACGAAATAATAATGGATCATGATTTGTAACCGATGATTGACATTCAATTATTATTATTAATTTCATTATAATCATTATTATTTGTAACCACCATTTTAAATGTTTCATCAGTCGGATTTATTTTGATTTATTTCGATGTGATTATGAGGAATAGAACGGAAAAATGCTAAATTTTTCTCGAGTGTTTCAACTCGAAACAATTTTCATTCAATGAAAATTGATCGATTTAAATAGTAGTGCCAAAAAAAACAAAACAAAAATCATTTAATTAATTAGAATTTTTTTTTCATAAAGTTTAATTTTAATTAAATTATTAATTATTAATTAAATCATCGATTAAAAAAAATTTGTTGTTTTAAAAAAATAATAATAATGTCAAATTATAGAATTATTGTCGAACTGACCATGCAAGTATTGTTGAAAAATTTACACCAGTAAATATACCTAATATTAATGAAGCAGCGGCCATCATACCGGCTGTACCGGCATATTTTGGATCCGGTGCTGATTGTGGTGCATACATCATACATAATGAACTATAATAACCGGAACTAAATGCCATTAAAATACTACCAAATAGATATAGTAAATCTGATTGTATAAATACTGGCCATTTTCGTCGATCCGGTGCATAATTACTAAGCATAAAAAATGGTATAAATAAAACTCTTGATACTATTGGTATCCATAAACGATCTGGACCAGGAAATCTAACAAAATTTGGTACCAAATTACCAAGCAATGCAAAAAAATTGAATAGAAGAAAACATGCAATAGCAACATAATATTGATCGGTCTTTTCTTTTGAACCAAATAATTCCGGATTTAGTGGACGAACATCAGATGGTATTACCGGAAAAATAGCAAGCGTAACAAAAAACAATAGAAAAACATTTAAACATTGTTTCCAAACATAACGATATACATAAAGATATGGTGGTCGTTCTGATTTAGATTTTTGTTCATTAATTTTTGCATGCGATTCTAAATCCTTATTCAATGAACCATTAGTAGTAGTATCCGATAAAAGATTTTGATTTTCTGTTTTAGTTTTCATTTCAATATCGGTTGTACCATCTATTGTTGTTGTTGTTCCTGTCGTTGTTGTTGTTGACTCTTTAAGATGCGTATTTTGTAAATAATATAGGAAAAATTTCTATTTAAAAAAAATAAAGAAAAAAGATTTTTGAATTATTTTTTTCGGAATTTTCAATTAACAAAACTTACATTTTTCTTTAAAAAAATAAACGATATGAATGCAATCAATAGGACAACAATAGCGGATGTAAAAAAATAAATAGCTGCAATACGTTTATTTGGTGATAAAGCAATGGTGGCAATATTCATTAATGATGTAAATGTTCCACAAACATTTGTACCGGTTACAATTGCATTTGTATATTTCATCGGTAAACGTGAACCAAGACCATAAAATGAATTTTGATATATAGCATTTACCATATTTAAAATGATAACTGTTGCCATTGTTAAATAGAAAAATCCTGTCATCCAATTGGCTGTATCGATCCATGCTAATAATACGGTTAATATGATGAATATTAATTCAATTGAAATGGCTATTAATATTCTTAATGTATAACCATCGGTATCATTATTTGAGTTTCTATAATGGAAAGGATTTAGTAAATTTTTCAATGGGAAAAAGATGTTATCAATTAAATTTACCCAAATTGAAAGAAAATATTGAAAATATTAAATAATACATTTGGCACTTGTGATGCAATGCCTAAATTACTAAGAAAATATTCTTTATATTTTGATTCAATAATTGTACCATTTTCCTGATGAATTGTTAATTTATAATCGGTAAAATACTGTAATGAAGACAAAAAAATTATCAATCAAAAATCAAAAAATCAAATCAAATCAAATCAACGACTTACCTCTTTAGCATTGATAAACATATTCCATGGCATCAATACGGCAATACCATGTAATAATAATATTATATAAACTAAATTATAATGATCAACAACAGGTATTTTTTTCAATGAATCATCTTCTTTATTATTTGTTTGTTTTTCATTATCCATTTTGATTATTTTATAAAATGATGATGATGATGGATCACCATTTAAAGCATTAGCTATAATGGATTTATTTTCTATAATAATGAAAAAGGATTTATTAGTGAAACAAGAAAAAAAAGGGTGAAATTTTCAATTGAAAAATGAAAAAATTTTTGAGATCAAATTTTTTTTAGAAATGAAGAATGGAAAAATGAAAATCAAATGAAAACAAAAATGATGAAAGAAAATTTGTTTGTTTTGTTTTGGGACGAACGAAAGAATTTTTTTTTGTTTTGAATTCAATTTAACAAAAATTTAATTAAGTAATTTTTTGAAAATGCCCGCCCAAGCCGCCACCATTGCAATTACAGAAAAATTAATGAATGAACAAAAAATTTCTATTCATTTTTTCAAAACAATATTTATCTTCGAATCAATCCAATCAATAGTAGTAGTAGTAGTAATCATCAATCGGAAAACATGATGATGATTTAGAAATGAAATCTGATGAATCTATGACGACCTTATATCAAATGAAAATGAAAAAAAAATGTTTAGCTACTGAATATGATAATATTTCAGGCATATCATATCCAATTCGATGATGATGCTAAACATATTTAACAAAAAGCAAAAAATTAAAACATAGCAGAAAAAAATTGATAACGATGATCAAGAAAGCATTAACCCTATGATGATAATAATAATAATGATATTGGAATTTTGTTTTGGTTATTATTTTTTTGATCAAACAAGCTAAAACTAAACCTAAAATAAAATGATTAATTGCTAAAAAAAAAATAGGATTCAATACATTTCCTATGTTGTTTTGCGATCGATACCAAGTGGTGGTTGGCTATTGAAAAGTTTGCTGAATTTCAAAAAAATTTCATTGATTTTTTTTTACAACATTGCAAATTGTTTTTTTTGATTTTAACCATGTTTTTTGTTTTGTTTTCACATTGGAAAATTTCCCATACACACACACGAAGCAAAAAAAAAACCCAAAAACTACCAGAAAACCAAACAATTCGATCAATGGCGATTGATTGATTTCTAAAATTATTGATTAATCATTGTGTGATCAATTGATTAAAATGAATGAATGAATGAGAAAAAAATGAGGTTGAATGGCATCCTGGTTGAATTATTTAACCATCATCATTATCATAAACATTTTGCGAATCCAAAAAACAAAACAAGCAAAGTCATTTTCATTTCATTTTGGGTTTGTTTGACAAAATTGTCACACACAAATACGAAAAAAAAATCGAGAATTTTTGTTGATAAAAAAAAAAATAAAAATAAAACTTACCATCATCGTCGTCGTCGTCGACATAATCGATTTTATTATCAATCATTTCGATTTGTTGTTGTCCACCACCACCACCACCACCACTACCTTCATCATCATCATTATTATCACCGTAATGATGATAATCATTCACCATTGTAACAACATCATCATCTTTGAATACCATCGTGTTTCACACGGAAAAAATTCCAAAAAAATCAAAATTAGGAAAAATAATGAAAAGCCAATGATGATGATGAACCGAACCGAAAACACGTGGTTTCTTTTCTTTCTTTTTTTTTGTTGTTGGTTATCCTCGAACTTGAAAGCGGCTTTGATACACCACCAACCACACCGCCACAAAACAGGATGATGATTGAATCAAGATTTTTTTTTCTTGCTGAACGGTGATGGTTGTTGTCGTTAGCTAAATATAGCTTGAAAAAAACGGCGTTTCTTTTCGGTTTGGTTTTTGTTTTTGATGGTAACCAACCGAAAATTATATAGTGAATTTTAATGATGATGATGATGTTGGTAATTGAAATTGGTAGATTTTGCTGCTAGCTTTTTTGCTTTGGTTTTGAAAATTGATTTTTTTTTCTCATTTTTCAACTCCAAAGAGCAAAATGATGATGCTTAAAAATAACAACAACAACAATTCTTGGCCATTGTTTTCATTAGATTCATTTTTTGGATGTTGTTTAATTCATCATCATCATCGTCGAAATGATGTTTTTTTTCACACGTTTTTTCTTTGTCATGAATTAATGAATGAAACGAACCATCAGATGAACATCATCATTTTCATGGCCATGCTTTTTCTTCTCTCTTCAGCTTTCTTTTCATTGAGAATCTTAACTTGATGAAAAAAAAGTGCAAATAAATAATAACGGCTCATGAGCGCGATCCAAATCTATATATAGAAAAGTATCACTAAGATTGAAGAGAAAGTGAGTTGAATGTTTTTTGTTTCTTTCTCTTTTTGGATTCGAATGCCCAAAAGAATGATGATTCGAATGACATCTATTATCAGCCAGATGAAACATAATGAAAGAAGAAGAATATCGTCGGAGGGAAGGAAGGAAATTGGTTTTGTTTTGTTTTTGGGAGTTTTTGTTTTCTCAGTGTTGACATTCGAATTCGAATCTTTTTTTTTCTGATCGACAATATCATCATCCATTCATAAATGACATGATTTTCATTCGAATGTTTTTTTTTCTTTGTTGTTGATTATCATCGATTTTTTTTTTTGTTAATGATTTTCGAAAATTTGTTTTTTAATTAGTTTTTTTTAATTTTAAAATTACAAAAATATTATAATAATCAGAATAAATTTATGATGAAAGTAATTTATAAACTAAAATCAAAACTTTTACATAAATCATCAGTGACTGAATTGAGTGGTGGTGGTTTTGGGGAAAAAAAAGAGAAAAAACATTAGTGAAATCGAAAAAGTTGAGTTCAATAAAAATTGATTTTTTTTCAAACTAAAAACAAAAGAAAAAAAAACTTACACGAAAAAATGAATTCATTGTTATCAAACCGGTATGTGAATAAGTAAAACCATAACGATTTTTAACATGAAATTTTGAAATATAATTAACTTGTTTTAAATGTTTACGTAGATTATATTTGATTTTGATTTTTTTCCTATTCGATTGTTGTTGTTGTTGTTGATATGGTTTTTGTTGATAATAACGTATTAATAAACGTCTTCGTCTTGCTTCTAAATATAATAAACGTTTTATACCAGATTTATCATGTATTGCAATTGGATATAATGCTAATATATAATGTATAATGAAAACACCTAATAATGTTGCAATAACAATCATTATTGCTAATGAATAATGTATAAATGATGGACGATGATGAATATATTGTTGTTGTTGTTGATTAATTATAAATTTTAAATGTGTTAATAACCATGCTGATAAATAAATATTGATTGGTAATGATGCAATCATAAACCAAAAAAATGATTTCGACAATACCCGATCAACAATCATAATACGTTCAAATAGGCGATGATGATGATAAATAAATTGATTGATACGATGATTATTTAATAATAAATGATCTTTACATAAAAGTATTTTGGATATTTGTTTCAATTCAACATAGAATAATATCGTATATGCAACAACATATGATAAACATAATATTAATGAACGTGCTTTCAATAAAATATCCAATACAAATAAAAATAAATTCAATTCAAACAAACAGAAATTCCATAATAATCCAAATAACCAAATGGAAAAATTTATAAATGTTTTTGAATGAAAATTATCAATAATTATTGTTGATAAAAATGTATTGATTGAACATTGTTGTTGTTGTTGATGATAATTATCGATACAGATCAATAAATATAATGTTTTCCAATGTAAATAAATTAAATTAATTACAGTTATAAAATTAACTAATATTTGAAATGAATTTATAATAATAATCATTATTTTTTTAATAATAAATAACCATTGTTTATTAACAAATGGATGATATGTTAATTCTGGAAATATTAATGGATGATTAACAATACCGTTCATTAAGGCAAATAATTTTGGATTATTAACCAAAAACATATTCTTTTCAATCATTACAATCATTATAAATGTTGTATATAATAAATTTAGAATAATATCATTAAAATAAATATAAGCACCATCACATAATAAAATACGTTGTTGTCTTGTTAATGGATAAAAATATAAAAATAATTGCCGTAAAAATGATAAATATTGTATTTGTAATATCCATGATAACCATTTAAGTGAACGATAATCTTTCAATATACCTGTATGATATATAAACCATGTTGATTGTTGATAATATTGTGTATTTTTTATGGAAAATAATTCATTACGTATAAATGTTATGAATGTTTTTCGTTCGGTTGGATTTGCCGATGATATTATCGGTAATGTTGATTGTTGATCATTTGTTAATTGTGATGTTGGTTGTGTTTTGTTTGGACAAAATTTATTAATCAATTTCAATATAAACATTGTAATCTTCATGTTGTTTTTTTTTGTTGTTGTTGTTGAAGTTTGAGTAGAAAATTCTTAAAATAAGCCAGCGAATGAATTCTGAAGAAAAGTGTATACTGGTTTTGGGAAAAATGAACGGAACGAAATGGTGCAACAAAAAATGAATGAATGAATATTTTCTCAATATTTTAAAAAAATTTTATCGAAAATTTTTTAAATTAAATTTTTGTTTTTTTTAAATGCAAATATAAACCGCTGTTATAAAATTGATGATAATTATATGCAGTAGTCATGGTTTGAAAATGATAATGTTTTTTTTTTGTTTGTTTGTTTTTTGTTTGTTTCCTTCTTCTTCTTCTCTTGAACGAATTCGCTTTTCAACAGAATCATTAAAAAAAGAGACAAGTCAATCTAATCAAATGACTTTGTGAATAAATGTTGTCCATAATCGTCTTTAAACGAAACGAAACGAAAAAAAAATTCCAACAATTTTTTGTTGACTATACAATGTAGATTCAATGGGTTTGCATTTCCATTTTGATTTAACTTGAATTTATCGATCCAAACGGAAAAAAAGATATCAAATTAATGGTTGCCAAGTTTAAGAATTTGAATAAAAAAAATTTCATCAATTTTTTCAAATTGATCGATCGATTAGAATTTTAGCCCATTTTAAAAATAGCTATTTTTGTTTTTAGCTATTTTTGTTTTTTGGCTAATATATTTTTGCTTTTTGGCTATAAAAAAAATTAATCAACAAGTGATGCGCACACGCAGTTTATTTTGTCGTCTGCATTGCAGTTTGAGAAAAAAAATTAACGGCTGAATTTTTTTTTTTGTTTTGTTTGTTTGTTTTGTTCACTGAATTTCAAATTTTTTTTGAAAAAAAAAATTGATTTTTCATCAAAAATTTTCAACCAAAAAACCAAAATAAACATGGCAACCGAATTTGTTAAAGGTTGGATTCTACTCGATACATTGGGTGAAGGTCGTTTTGGCGAGTATGTATTTTCTTTTTGATTCTGTTGATTTTTTGGAATGTTTTTTTAATCATGTTTTTCTTTTGAAAAGGGTTAAATTATTAATGAATAAAGATAGCCGGGATATGGTTGCTGTAAAAGTATTAACAATAAAAAATTCTGAACAAGATAAACAAATACGTAAAGAAATTTGTATACATAAAAATTTACGACATGAAAATATTATTAATTTTTATGGTCAACGTCGTGATGATGAATCAAAAATTGAATATATTTTCTTGGAATATGCACAAAATGGTGAACTATTTGAACATATTGAACCTGATTATGGTATGGAACGAATAAAAGCGGCAAAAATTTTCATTCAATTATTAAACGGTGTTGAATATCTACATCAACGTGGTATTGTACATCGTGATTTAAAACCAGAAAATCTTCTGCTTGATAAAAATATGGTATTGAAAATTGCCGATTTTGGTATGGCAACATTGTTTCGTCATAATGGGAAAGAACGTTTATTAACACAAATGTGTGGTTCAATTCCGTATATTGCACCAGAAGTTCTTCGTAATGATCCACATCATGCTGAACCATTAGATATGTAATTTGATTTGATTTACTTTGATTTCACTTAATCCAATTTTTAATTTAAAAAAAATCTTTAATTTTTTTCTACATTTAGATGGAGTTGTGGTATCATATTGGTAGCAATATTAACCGGTGAATTACCTTGGTTAGAAGCAATGGAAAAAAATCAACATTATCGTCAATGGATTAATAGCCATTATAATTTACATTTAAATCCATGGCAAAAAATCGATACAATCGATATTGCATTATTGCGTACAATTTTGGAACCAAATCCCGCAAAACGTTCGAATATCGAACGAATACGTTCACATCGTTCTTATTTAAATTTAAAAAATCTTATTGATAATGATAAAAATTTGGTTCGTAAATCATCATTTCCACATAAACGTTCATCAAATGTCGATAATGGTGGTGGTGGTTTCGCATCGCAACCACAACCAAAATTAGCCGCAAGTCAAGCAGTAATGATGATTGGTAATTCAAAACGACGAACAAATCAAACAAACGATGATGATGATGATGATTGTGATCAAGAAAATATCAACGATGATTGCGGTGGTGGTTGGACAACAACATCATTTTCACAACCAAATCGTATACAAGATATGTTCCTGTCGACACAAACACAAATGGAATTAGGTTTTGGTGGTGGAATATCACAAGGTGGTATTACACCACCCGAAATGACATTATATTTTCGTATTGTACGTCGTATGACTAGATTTATGTCGATAAAAAATTTCTCGCAAACAATCAAAACATTAGAACAAGCATTCGATGATCTACGTTGGTCATGGAAACAACAAACAATTGGCCTGTATAAAATACAAATTTTATCCAATCAACGTAATCGTATACCATTAATATTTCGATCATCGGTTAATGATTTATCAACCGGAAAAATTCTTGTCGATTTTCGCCTGGCTAAAGGTGATGGTATTGAATTTAAACGACAATTTTTATTGATAAAAAATCTACTTAAACCAATTATACAATCATATGGACAGAATATTCTTAATGATGATGATGATGATGAAAATGATATTTTTTAAAGAATTTTATAATTATAAGGAATTTATTAATTGTGATGATGATGGAAATTATTATTATTATTGTTTTTATAATGTAAATTATCAAAAATGATTATTATTTTTTTCTTTCATGTAATTTTATCCATTGACGAATACGTTCAAATTCATTAAATGTTGTTGTTAGATTTTCTGAACATTGCCATTGTTCTTTACATTCATTTAATAAACGTTTTATATGTTGATATGATTCAGGATGATTTTGTAATTGAAAATTTTTACCCAAAATTTCTAGAATTTTTTGCTGAAATTTACGTATATTTTCCAATAGATTTTCATCCGATAATGTTTGATATGATTGTATGGTATCTGAGAAAAAGCAAGGGGAGAAAATAAGGATTTAAAAAACAACATTTAAGGGTTAAGTTCATACTTGATAATGTTTGTAGGATTTTTTCATCATCTTCGATTGGAATTTTTTGCTCAGTACAATGATGTTGTAATTCGATGGCAAATTTTTCAACATTTTCTGCTTGCAATAATGTTCGTGATAATAAACGATAACGACGTAATTGTTTACGTAATTCCGAATATTCATTGAAAAGTTTTTCGAAATCAATTTTTAATTTTTCAAGTTGATCTAAATTTTCCAACAATTCTTTTTCTTTTGATTTAAGTCGCGACTGTTTTTCACGTATATCAGTTAATTCAATTATAGCGAATTGATTACGAATAAAATTATCAATTTTATCTAAATCTACATCATCTTCTGCTGATTGTTGCTGTTGATGATTAGCTAATAATAAACGTGGATTAATTGTTTTACGTCGATTCATCATTTTTTGTTTTGTTTTTTTTTACGAAAAAAATGTTGAAAAAGGAGCGAAAAATTCAAACAGCTCAACAGCTCGCTGGAAAAGTCACGTGATAAATAGTCAAAAAACAACAACTGCTGCTGCCATCTATGCATTTCGAATCTGTTTAGTTTTGCACCCAAAATATGCTGTGATGATCGATAACATTCGAAGGATGATGATCATTCGAAAAAAAATTATTCTTCTCCCTTTTTTTTAACCTTCAATCGCACACATTTTGACTGACTCGATTTTACCATCATTTTTATTCTTGTTTTGTTTTGTTTTGTCTATAGAAATCCGTAAATCAATAATCAATCAATTGATTGATCGATCGATCAAAGAAATTAAATGTCATTGTGTATGAATGATTGATATGATGATTGACTTTATGATGATACAATCTTGTGATGATACAATATTGTAGATAACAAACAAACAATGACCGATATGATATTTTTGTATTTGAAATGAAATCAATTTTACAACAAAAACTCCACTATTATAAATTAAATCATCTGATTAATTCATTTGTTGTTACCGTTACCATTTTTTTTCTTTCGACTGATTGATTGTTAATTGTTATTGACGAGCTTGAGCTTTAAATTTTTGTGTTTTTGTTTTGTTTTTTGAAAAAAAAGGTTAGTAACAATTTTTTTTTAATAAAATTATCCACACACGTCATACCTATTTCTAATATTTTTCTAAACAAATGTTAATCCAATTACCTAATTCATTGATTGATTGATTGTAATCATTTTTTTTCCAAATTTTTATTTTTAATTTTTATCCAAACACAAATCACATTGTTGAAAACAATAATAATAATGATAATAAGCATCCATTTTTTCTCATCATCATCATCAAATCAATGGTCATTATTATTAATATTTTTGGCTATTTTTAATGGTAAATTTTTCTTTATTTTAAATTGAAAAAACATTGAGTAGGTGTGTTTAGCATAAATGCATGCATGCATGTCAACATTTGTTGTTGTTTGTTGTGTGAGCCATATTTTCAATAATAATTTTGTTTTCAATTTAATTTTGTTTTTTTTTTGGCAATCAACAACAACAACAACAATCATCACTTGATTCGAATTACTAATGTTGATTATATAAAAGTAAATAATTCGAACGTTTTATTTTGGGTGACAAAAAAAAACAACAACAACATTGCCACCCTCGATGATAAATTTTTATTGAATAATAATCAAATGTTAATCAAAATAATTATCATTATTNATCATTCGAAAAAAAAATTCTTCTTCTCCCTTTTTTTTAACCTTCAATCGCACACATTTTGACTGACTCGATTTTACCATCATTTTTATTCTTGTTTTGTTTTGTTTGTTGTCGATTGAAATCCGTAAATCAATAATCAATCAATCAATCGATCGATCGATCGATCATAGAAATTAAATGTCATTGTGTATGAATGTGTGATTGACTTTATGATGATACAATCTTGTAATGATACAATATTTTGTAGATAACAACAAACAAACAACCAATGACCGATAGGATATTTTTGTATTTGAGCGAAATCAATTATTAAATTAAATTAAATCATCTGATATCATTTCATTTATGGTTCATTTGTTGTTGTTATTGTTACCATTTTCGATTGATTGATTGATAATCGTTATTGACGAGCTTGAGCTTTAAATTTTTGTGTTTTTGTTTTGTTTTTTTTTTTTGAAAAAAGGTTAGTGAAATTTTTTTTTTAAATAAAAAATTATCCACACACGTCATACCTATTTCTAATATTTTTTAAAACAAATGTTAATCCAATTACCTAATTCATTGATTGATTGATTGATTGTAATCTTTTTTTTTTGTAAATTTTTATTTTTAATTTTTATCCAAACACAAATCACATTGAAAACAATAATGATAAGGATCCATTTTTTCTCATCATCATTATCATCGAATCAATGGTCATTATCATTATTAATTTTTCTGGCTATTTTTAATGGTAAATTTTTTCATATTATTTAAAATTGAAAAAACATTGAGTAGGTGTTTAGCATAAATATGCATGCATGCATGTCAACATTTGTTGTTGTTGTTTGTTGTGTGAGCCATAATTTCAATAATGATTTTTTTTCAATTTAATTTTGTTTCATTTTTGGCAATCAACAACAACAACAACAATCATCACTTGATTCGAATTACTAATGTTGATTATATAAAAGTAAATAATTCGAACGTTTTATTTTTGGGTGACAAAAACAACATTGCCACCGTCGATGATAAGTTTTTATTGAATAATAAAATCAAATGTTAATCAAAATAATTATCATTATTATTTACATAATGATAAATGAAATGACAACAACAACATTTTCATCATCTGAACCTCAACAACAACAACAACAACCAACAACAGCAGCGACAAATATTGTTCAATCATCATCATCGAGATTGCAAAATTTATTTCCATTAAAAAATAATCGTATTGTTCATTCACCCGTTATCACTAACAATATCAACAACAATGATCATCTGATAATAAGCAATAATAATGATATTGTGGATGATGATGATGATGATTATAATAATAATAATGATCGATATAAACGAAAAAAATTTTTATTAACATTACATTGGATAATACCAATCATATTTATAATAATTATAATTATTTTTGTTTATTGTATGATTTTTTTTTTAAATTGAAATAGGGAAAACAAAACATTAATCAATTTTTTCCTTGTCCTTTTAAATCATCAGATTTTTAATTTTTAATTTTTTTCCCTTTCTTTTTCACCAATAGTCACCATATTCCATGATTCAATTGATGCTGCCAAATACAACAACAACAACACCAATATGAATAATCATTGTGAAAAATCTGAATTAAAAACAAAATCAAAAGAATCATTAGAACAACAAGAACAACAATTAGTTAATAGTGGTCATTATTTAAGTATATATTTTGTTACATGGAATGTTGCATCAAAAGAACCACGTGGATCATTTGCTGATTTATTTAATTTTTATCATCGTCTTTATGATGCATATGTTATTGTTTTGGAAGAAATGCCAATGAAAACATATATCTATATTGATGGTTGGCGTTCATCAATGGAACAATTATTTCGTCAAGTTGGTTATGTTCTTTTACGTAAAGAATCGGCCATACTTACAGGTGTTTTTCTATTTGTACGTCGTCAAGATATTTATCGTTATTCATCTGTACAGGTAATATTTGTTTGTTATCGTTAAAGAAAATTTAACAAAAACTATCTTTATTTTTCTTCTATCAAGACTTATCCGGTTAAATTACAAAGCGATCGAGCATTTGCATTCAAAGGTGCTGTTGGCTTACGATTTGTTTATCATCGAATTCGTGTAGCTATTATTGGTGCACATTTAACACCACACGATGAAAATTATCAAAAACGTATAAAAGATTTACGTACAATTATGTCCGAAGTTTATTTTAGTAATCGTACTGATACTGTTCATAATCAAGAGTATGTATGATTAATTGGTAGATTTTGTTTTTTTCAAATTTGATTTTGTTTTAGTATAACATTTTTAATTGGTGACCTTAATTTTCGTTTGGATCCTATGAACGAATCAAAAGAATCGTATGATGAAGAAAAAGAATTTGAATCAATTGTACAATTTATTCGTGAAAATCGAAATAATAAAGATCCAAAACGTTATGAATCATTATTAAAATATGATCAGATACGTAAAGCACAACAAAAAGGTGATATACCATTAAAAGATTATGAAGAATCATCAATATCATTTGCACCAACATTTAAATTTGTTATCGATTCATGTGATCAATATGATCGTAAACGTCGACCAGCATGGACTGATCGTATATTATGGCGTAATTTACTTAAATTTCAAAGTCGTTGGCAAAAAACTGATCATTCAAAAATGTCATCAATCGAACCAATATCAATGTATTATGATTCATTACCACAATATACAACAAGTGATCATAAACCTGTACGACAATTAATATGGATACCAATTATGGAAATGAAAGAAATTAAAAAAGATTTAAATCGAAAACGTCGTGATACACGTCGTCTTACATTACCAACATTATTTGATCAACTACCACAACCTCCATCTACAGTTGCTTCTTATCAACGTTTACGATCCGATTCGGTGACAACATTTTTACCAGCAACTACTACGGATGAATTTCCAATGGATATGATATCAAATGAATTATCATCAATAGATACTGAAATTGAAGCAAATGAAAATTCTTTGTTATGGCCAAATATTGATGATCCATCAATATTTCAGCCAACATATCGTATTGAATTTTTTCGTATACCCGATTGGAATCGAACGAAAAAATTTTATGCAAATTTCAAAATTGTAACCGATGATGATGATGATGATAATCACGAAAGAAGACCAGTATCGATTCGTAATCCATCTGTTCGAAAATTTATCGATCAATGGGATTGGATTGGAATTTTTCCGGAAAAATTTACATCATTAGATGATTTTCTTACATATTCTTATCCAAGATTTGGTAATGCATTACCGACTGAACAGGCAGCAGATGCTTTATCAATGTTAAACATTGATGATGATGATAATATTAGAGATTTTGATGATGATTCACAACAAGGTGATCAACAATCTAGTAGAAGTTCCAACAAAGAAGAAACTTCTTCTATTGATTCATCTTCGATAACAACAACAACAACAACGTCGATCGATACTACTACTGACGAAGTATTTTCAGTTCATTTTGATGAACAAATACCAATATTAGCTGGACGTTATTTATTGATTTATATTAGAAAAAATGGTGATGTTATTGGAATATCCGAACCATTCGATATTGAAAGAGATATTGATTTATCAAGTGATATTTCATAATGATTATAAAAAAAACAATAATTTGTTATTTTGATTGGCCAAAATTTTAACTCTTCACTTTATAGACTAATATAAAAAACAGACACTTACACACACACATCAACAACAACAAAAAAAAATTAACGTAAATATTATTGAATTTATAAATTCAAAATTAAAATATTTTCATATTACAATTTATTTGTCTAATTTTAATTAAAAATTGAAAAAGATTAATTTTTATATAAATTTTGTTTTCTGTAAGAGAATATACATTGGGTAAAATATTGTTAAGAGATTATCTGTGATCGATTATTTTCCAGGAGTCGATTCAAAATTGAACCAAAAAATAATAATAATGAGGTATGGTTTGTGTCAGAGATTCGAGATTGATTCGTGAGAGTTGGAAAGATTGATTGAGGATCCATTTTTTTTTCTTAGTTAATATCGTTAGAATTGTTTGTTTCTTTGAAACACGCACACACATAATGATATAAATATCGAGATTGACAACTCGAGATTGTTTGCAAACAAAGGTCCTATGATCTACGTTGAATATTTGGCATTGAATTCGGCATTACTTGTGTTACCGGGCTTGAATTATTATGTAAATGATGATGTTGATGAAAAGTGGATGAATGTGAAAAACTATTATTCGATGCAAACATTAACGATGTTGTTGATAATGGTCGTGAATATTTTTGTTTAACAATTAATTTTCCTTGATCATCACATGATAAGGCAAAATCATAAAGTACTTCACGTATTCGATTTACGATACTATTTTTTTTCAAAGAAAACATTCGAAAGAAAAATTCGTTAATTTCAAAGTTCAAAGTTTCAAAAGGTAAAAAAATATGTTCAAATCACTTACATATTAGTCTGTATAACACGTTGATGAATGCCAAGAATAAACAAGGTGATTAGAATAATACAATTAATAGTAAAAAAATAATGTTTAACTAATGATTGAAAAAATGTTAATTCTTCGAAATTATTTTCAACAATTTCGTGAATGGTTTCATCTGTTGTTTTCATATCTGTTGTTATTACTGAATTTTTTGATTGAAAATGTTGATGATTATTATTATAATAATTATTATTTGTTGTTGGATTCATTGAATCTTGTAGCCAAAAATATGAACTAATTGCAGTGGATGTTAGACTAATTGCTAAAACAATACGCCATAAACGTTCACGTGGTTTTTGTTGTAATATCGTTTCCATAAGTCGTCGTTCAAAAGCTTTTAAATCTGAAAACGAAAGAAAAAGAACAAAATCAATCAATCAAATTCTTGAATCAAAACATCCAGAAACAAACCATTGCATTGTATGGTTGGATTTAATTCGAATGTTGTGGTTGTTGTTGTTGTCATCATTTGATTCGTGGATATTGTTGACATTTTTTTAGGATTTTGATTCTGAATTCTTTTTTTTATTTTTTTTCGTTTCCAAAAACAAAGCTATTTTATCAAACAATTTTTTATATATATCACAATCGTATTTAAATGAATAATAACAAAGAAACAATAATAATGATAAGAAGATTTTTTAGTGTTTTGCCAAAAAAATATGGATAAGATATGTGTCCTCCAAAACGCGAACCGAAATTCATTGAATTTTTCTTTTTCGGAGAAAAAAAAACCGAGCGGCTCAGTTCAACACGCATACACAGATGATTAATATTAATGAATGCCAAATTTATACGTTGTTAAACCAAAAATTATGAAAATATTCGAACCAATTGTTCAAAATCGGATGGAAATCCCGTAATTGGACAACGATGATTTTTCATCAGATATGAATGAATACAATTATAACAGAATATATAACCACTTGATGTTAATGCAGTTTCATTTTGACGTTTTTGGCCACAAATTGGACATAAATTCTATATAAATAATAATAATAATAAGATTAACAAGAGAGGTCAAAATAGTGATTGATTGATATATCTTACCGATGATAATTTGAAATTATTTTGATGATTATCACCGGAAATTGGTGGCAGTAAATCCGGTGGTGTTTGTTGTTGTTGTACATTAAACATTTGTCTTAAATCAGTTCGAGTATTCCAATAATCAAGAAATTGTATGATAAAAGCACTTGAACGAAATGTTATGCTAAAAATATTGCTCATTATGTATGATAATTTCGAGAGAAAATTCGTTACAGGAATTTCATCATCATTGAATTTTGAATTGACAAGTGTCATTCGATTAGTTGGCCAAAAAAGTATAAACCAAGGACAATGTGAATGATCACCACCAGTTGCATATGATAACCAAATCAATAAACGTAATAATTGCACGGATTTTCGAACAAATGGATAATATTGATGAATAAATTTGTTTTGATCATCATCATTCAAATAATGATTGGTTATCAAATAATGTTCATGAATTTTTTCATAATAATTATCCAATTTTTCCATTGCATATGGAACTAGGCAAAGTTGTAAAAGAGATTTAAATAAATCTGAACGATTATAAAATGGTGATCGTTTTAATGAAAAATAATACTCGGTAAACGATGTTTGATAACGATAAAGATGTGACCATTGTAAAATAAGATCAAATACAAGAAAATATTCATCAAAATTTTGTTCCAAATTATGAAATTTTGAATTATTCGATGAAAGAAACTGGATGAAGGAAAAAAATTTGAAAAATGAACTTTGAAATCTACAAAACAAAACAAAACATACTTTAATCATAAATTTCAATGCTCGTCGTATGGATCGATGAAGTAAATCTTCTGACCAAACGACAAAAATTGATGGACGATTTGTAGACATTTTATCCAATTTCCAAATGAAAAACTTGTAAAATTTGACGATTTGTCAAATATTGAAAAACTGATCACTCAACAGGTGATGAACGATTTACAATCAGACGATAGTAATCGATTAATCGAAAAAATTTTGAAAATGAATATTTTTTTATTTTTTTACTTGAATAAAGTGAAAAATAACAAAGAGATTACAGAGGGGAAAAAAATATTAGAGAGATTAGAAAAGGAATAATCTTATCCGATAAAATGGATTTCCAAGATGAATGAATGAATTAGTTTACTTTCGAAGCAGCTGCATTATTATTATTATTATAACGAAATTTACGAAATAAAAATCCTAAATCAAATTCATTATATGAACTTTTATCCAGATAATATTGTACGGTACGTTGTAAACGATTAAATAGATCACCATATTTTTGTTTAAGTAATTTTCGACGAACTATGATTGATGAGAAATGAATGAAAAAATGATCAAACATAATGTTTTTTGTTAAGTTCTACTTACGATTCCATTGATATTCATCCGGTAATGATAATAAATGAAATCTTTGTAATGTATAATCAAAATCAAATATACGATGAAAAAATGTTAGCTGTTGATAGAGAAAATGTTCAGAAACCTGAAAAATTTTGTTGAAAAATTAATTTTTAAAAAAGCTTTGATTTTTTTTTATTCTACCAACCTCCGGTTGAAGATTTCCATTACCACAACGTGGACAGACAATATGTTTTTGTGTAATCATACCGGATAGATAACGAGTTCGATGCGAACAACCACGATCATCACATTGCATTGAACGTTGACCAAATTTTTGATTCACATGATAATCAATTTGACGGCGAATTTCTAAATCAAAATAAAATTCCATAAATCTTGGATCAAATTTTCGATGACATTGTCGACAACCATCCAATGTTAATTCAAATAGTTGATCGGGTTTAAAATTTTCCGAAATTTCTTTCGAATTTAATCGACGAATTTTTCGATTTGACCATAAACAAAATAGATCACGAATTTCTAAAATTCCCCGACAATTATCGAATGGACAACGAAGAAATAATGAATCACAACAATCATATTTTTCATCACCACAAGCAATCGATAATGTTGGATCCAATGATTGTTGATCATTGCCATTACGTTGAACATGACGATGTTGACAATCAATACCAAGAAATTCGGCCAATATAACCGTATCAGTACCATCCAATGGTTCACATAAACGTGATACAACTGGAAATATTTGTTGACTAAGATAATAATCAATATCAATATGAAACGTTGAATCTTTATCTCCAGCGGAATCATCTTTTTGTTTTTCTTGTTGTTTTAAAAGTTTTTGTCGTACTTCATCCAAATGATAACCACGTTGTGTAGCGGAATTTTTCGTACCATCCACACAAATGATAAACGGAACTGTATCACCTGAGCCCAGTTTTTTTCCTTTGAAAAACGAATTTTATCAAATAAAAAAATATCGAAAATTTTTTCAAACAAAACTTACCTAAATTCAATTGATTATAACGTGTAGCAATCATAACATGTGTAAGATTTTTTCCTTGTTCACCATATTCTTCCGGGCGTTTAGCCAATGCTTTATTTATGACAAACAATTCTAAATCCAATTGACCATTACGTATTTTTTCCGCTAATTGTTTTAAATATTGATGAATTTGATCAACAATTAATTGTGAATTTTGATCTGGTTTTAGAATGAAATCCAAAACGGTTTCACCGGCCATTTTAGCTAATGATGACCAATCACGACGAATAATATCCAAACCTTTAATTTCACGTTCATATTGTAATTCAGAATTATTATTCGCTCGTGATGGAATCACTGCCAATGCTGCATATTTTTTCTTTTTCAACAATAACATTGAACGAAAAACACCATCAATATCGATTTCAAGACGACGATATAATTGATTAACTTCAGCCTGAATTTTACGGCCAATATCACGAACTTCTTCATATTTTGTACATGGTGTTAAAATCATAATCGAATCAGTATCACCATAAATAACTTCAAAACCCATTTTTTCAACCAATTCTTTTGTATTCAAAAGAATTTCACGACCTTTTTGTGTAACCATTGATGCTAAATGTTTAGCATAAAATCTTGAACGTTCATAACCCAGACAACCATACATTGAATTGGCTGTAATTTTTAATGCTTTTTGTTTAATATCTAATTGTGAACGTTGATCATTTGAAATTGTTGGATCAAATAATTGTCGTTTAACTTCACGTCTTGAATCAACTAATTTACGAATTTCAACAGGTAATATACCTTCATTATTATCATCGGTTTTTTTGTTTGGTATTTCGATATCAATCGAATTACCATCATTATTATTTTTTGTTGATTGACATCGTATTGTTGTAAAACAAATATTATATTCTTGTATGATTGATGGATAAAGTGAATTGAAATCCATCAACAGAATAAAACGATCATAGAAGCCAATTTTTGGTTCCAGCACTAAACCACCCGTGTATGATGATGATGATGATGATTTTTTATTATCGGCTGCTACCATTATTTCCGATTCTTCTGATTGTTTAACAACATCATTTTGTTGTTGTTGTAGCTGTTGTTTGTTTATTGATTTCATTGATCGATCAATTTTATCCGGTACTAAATAACCACGTTGATTAAATGCATGTAATAATAAATATTCATTACGTTCCGATCGACCACCTAACAATGTTCGCGATAATAAATTTCCAGCAATATTTGTAATTTGTTTACAAAGTGGTAAACAATTCAATTCATATGCAATTGATAATATAAGATCATTATCTTTCATAAGAAATTCAATCAAACGTAAAAGACGTTGTGAATCATCATAATAATTTGGTAAACATTGTTGTTCAATTTCAAAACGTCCTTTACGTAATAATTGACTGGATAATTCAGTTAAATCATAACTTTTAGCACGTGTTAATAATTCACGACTCATTAATTTTATATCACATATTAAACGGCCATGTAATAGATGTTTATCTTTTATGGTTGAACGATTATTTGTAGCCGGTATACCCGAACATTTAAGACGTCCTAATTTTGACCATTGCAATGGGATTTTATAATGACCAAATCGTTGTAGAAGAATATCATAATCAAAATTATAAATATCATGACCAATAATAATATCCGGATCAATTTGTTGAAATTTTGCCATAAAAAATGTTAATAATTGTCGTTCATTCATCATAATTTCCACTTTGGTTTTTCCATAATCTTTTAATGCCATTTTATGATTAAAATCAACAGGTAAATCACGACCATTACGTCCACTTAATTTTGTTATTATACAAAAATGTTGATCAAATTTTTTCTGTTTTTGTTGTTGTTGATTTTGTTCAAAATTGAAATGACGATTCACCAGGCAACTTATGGCTACAATTTCGGTTGTTTTTGTTTCCACATGGACAAATGTTTTGAAACAAAGACTCAGCAATGTGAAATTTGGTATCGGTGGCAAAGATTGTCGAAGTTTATCATTGGTGGTTTGTTCCAGAACAGAAATCTGATCTTTTGGTTCCGATATGGTCAATTCTAATTTACACCAACTAACTGGTTGATCCGAAATTTCAGGATTTTTTATCAATAACCAACCTGGACCCATAAGATTTTTATCCAAAATAAAATTTTCCAATATTGATGATTGTGTACCGAAAACATGACGATAAGTATTTCCTTCCAGAAATTTTACCGATAATGATGGATAAATGGCTGGATATAAAACTTCTAAATATTCAGCTTCATCAGGTACGTCCAACAATTCGAATGCATAACGTTTATATACTTTTCTTGAACGAAATTGTCGTATTTTTAATGATGGTGCAATTTGTTGTTCAAATTCTTCACGTACATCATCCAATCGAACACGACGACTACGATCATCACGAAAATATTCACGTGGTAGAAGAAATATTCGACGTTCAAGATTTTTTATCTGTAAACAACAACTAATATGTTGTTTCAATGATAAATCCGTATAAATTTTTCCAAATAAAAATATTCGATCTGAATGTGAATTCTGATCATGAAATGCATCAAACCAATAAAATTTCATTAATTTATTCTGATCTGAATCCATTTCGAATTCAATATCTTTTGGCATGATTTGCTGTGATGTTATTTTTGTTGAAGCAGTTGCTGTTGAGTTTGAATCGTTTTCGGTTTCTTGATCAACATTACTTTCGGTAACAATCCATTCTTCTTCGGGAAATTTTTCTACTTTTAATTTCATTGAAATTTGATTGTGGTCATCATCATCCAAATCATCATCATTATGATCGGGTAAAGTGAAATCCAAATCATTCAGGGAATAGTCATCCATTGGTTCTTCTTTGATTGAAATCTTTTTATTCTCAACTGTTTGCTGCTGCTGCTTGTTTCTATCAATTTCTTCTTTATCAATGATTTGATCAAAATCAAAATCTTTTTGTACATTTGAACGACGTTTAAATGGTGGTTGTAAATTTGATGAACCATTTTTTGTTGTCGATGATGATGAATCGATTGTTTTTCGTTTTTTCGCACTCATATTTGGTGTTGTTGTTACACCAATATTTGTTGCCTGTTTACGTTGTAATTTCAGTGGTTGAAAATTACCATTTCCACCGACCATTGGTGATGATTTTGATTTCGTTGTTATCGAATCGACAAGATTTTCAATTTCATCATCATCAATTTGAACTTCATTCAGTGATTTTTTTGCAGCGAATGTTGAATTGATGGCCATTGGTGAAAGTTTTGAATGTTGTTTTGTTGTAGTTTTCAATTTATTCATCGCACTAAACATATTTCGAATATCGCTTTTTTTATTATCATCAACTCTTTGATCTTTTGATTGATTTCCTTTCAAGCGATATTTATTTCGTTGTTTCGAACGATCTGCATTATTATTTTGTCCAGATTCACCATCATTTTCATCAAACGAATCATATTCATCATCGAAAATTTCACGACCATGTTCAGCATAACCCGAACCATCATCATCAACAATCCAATCTTCACGTTGTCGTTTTGAAACTAATTTTGCATATGATTCTTCATCAACTTCTTCATAAACACATGATTCTTCCACATTGACAAGACGATTTTTTTGTCCAGTATTTTTCAACGAACGAAGCCGTTCTAATGCTTCTTGTTTTTTTACAGCTTGACGGCTTAATGCACGTCGTGTTCGTCCACCTGGATTTTTTTATTTTTCATTTCGTTTAACAAACATAAATCTAAATCAAAATTCAAAATAAACTTACCATTATCAGAATCCATCGCAAAACAAAAACAAAAACAAAATTCAGAATTCTTGTTTATTTTCGAACAAAAAAAAAATTAAAAGAGCGCCAATCTCGCGCGACGCAGCTCAAAAATTTTATTAAAAACACATTCATAAATGACAGGATACAAGATTTTTAAAATTAAAATTTTCTAAAATCAAACTTTTTAAAACGAAAAAAATCAAACTAAAAAAGGAAAAGAAATTCTTGATTTGGATGAAAGAATGAGTTTTGATTTCAGATGTTTTTTTCACGTTGCTCGTGCAATTCCATTTCGTATCAAATCACTGCAATGATAATGATTTTTGTTTACAAATTTTGGAAAAATTTTCATTCGAAAAAACATACCGAAATTTTTTGGAAATATCTTTGCTGTTGTCATCATCAAGACCTTGTTGTCCATTATGATTTGATGATGATGATTGAAGATTCGAATGGTCGATATCATCGGATTTATTCCATCGATTCGTTCGAATTAATTGTCGCTTTTCCATTTCATAAAGCATATGACGATATCGTAATGTTGATTGATTTAAATCGCGTGTAAATTGAAATGCACGATTATAATCATAATCATATCGAAGAACAATGTCTTCAATACGATCAATGTAATCGAAAAAACGTTTCATTGCCATTATACGTTCAGTTTCATCGATCTCTGAATTCTCGGAATCATTTGGATTTTTCTTTGGCAAACTTTGATTCGTTGATGCGTTCGATTCACCGTTAATCGAATCCTTACGTTGATTCGAATCATTCGATTTTGAAAATTTCCTTCGTTTACGTTGTTTTGATCGTTCCAATGTTGTTGTTTGTTGATCAACAACATTGCTGGTTTCATCGTTGATATTTTTACCATGATGTTCTTCTTCGTCGGTGGTGGCTAAAGATTTTTTCCCCAACAACAATGATTCATTTCGAATAATACGCATTACTGTATTTGGATGCATTGAATAACGTTCAGCCAAAATTGCGACCGTATCACCATCATTATGATGATAATCGTGTAATAATTTTAATTTAACATCCAAACGTATTGTTTTTGCTCGTCCCATTTTTCTTTCTCCTTAAAAAACCAAACAAACGAACGAAAAATCAAAAATCGACAGTCAAACAACAACAACAACAACGTCGATTCCTCTTCTGGATCAAACTCAGAATCGGGATTCTGTTCCACAACCAAGATTTCCCTCTGAAAACATTATCACCCTCGATGCACACAGAATCGTTGCTATATAGAATTCTGATGGAATTTTTTTTACGAAAAAAAAAAAAAATTTTTTTTTATTATTTAGATTCGGATTTATCATCATAATCATCATTTGATTGACAAACATAGCTATTAGCTTGTTGTAAAATTGTTTCACTAAATTTTAAAACCATACGATTTAATGGTGATTTTAAACGTTTCGAAATGTTACGTAATTTTTTTAAATGATCAAAAATTTCATTGATGGAATTGATTAATTCATCATCCAATTTTTGATCACATGGATCAATTGTCGATTTTGATCGTTTTATCGATGACCATTGTCTATGGATCGTTTCATTTTCATCATTTTGATGATCCGAATTTGAAATCATCGTCGAAGATTGATGTTCACCAACCAATAATCGTTGTTCATCAATACAATGTTCATCTGTAAAGTTCGAATTCGATTGAATCGCTATTAAATCATCATCATCATCATCGTCGTCGTCGTCGTCGAGATCAAATTCATTATCATCAATTTTATGGTGATCCGGAGAATTATTATCGTTGTTCGAGGTTATTAGATCATTTCTTCTTCGTTGATAAGCTAAACAACGGCTAACACTACGTGTTGAAACACCAAAATGTTCGGCAATTTTACGCATTGACCAACCAACACCACCACCACCACCATTATCGTTACCACCTTGATCACGTTCTTCCCATGCTTTGATTATCTTTGATTTCATATCGTTGGAAATTTTTCGAATTCTTGGTTGTTGTTGTTGTTGTTGATTTTGATGATCATTATCATCACTTGAACAAATCGAATCAATGTCCAAACGTTTACGTTTTACACCGATATTATCTTGGTCATCTTGATCATCTTGATGATGATTATTTCTTTGTTCATATTTCGAACGATTACGAATAAAATACAATACGGTTGATAATGGCATCTGATATTTTTCGGCAATCTGTTTTGTAGTATGGTTACCATAATCATATTCATTTAATATGATTTTTTTCTTTTCCAAACTATATTTCATACGATGTGACATTGTCTCATCAATCTTATCTGATCAACAACAAGAATTGAAAAAAATTCAACTTAAAAATCTTGGAATCTTTTGTCGAAAAACAACAGAATAAATAAAAAGAATACTCAAATGAATGAATGTGCGTGGATAGAATATTCCAACAAAAAAAAGGTGCGCACAATCAAATCGAATGTTTAAAAAAATTCGAATCAAAAACCAAAAAAATTCGAATCAAAAGTCAAGAATTTTTTTTTCAAATTTTTATTCAATGAAATAAAAAACAAAGAGAAAGTTTAAAAAAAATGAAATGAATTTGAAATTCTTATCGCAATTTGTACAAGAAGAAAATGAATCTTAATTTAAAAGTTTTGTTAGCAAATTTTTTGGTTTGTTTGTTGATGAATGATATAATGTTATTGTTTTGTTCGGTTGTTTTGCAATTTTGATTTTCATTGTTGTTTTTCGTGTCTGATGTATCAAATCAAATCAAATGAATTTACAAGTGTCAATCATGTAATGTATCTATCTAATCTTATCTAATCTAACTAATTAATGTTTTACATATATAAAGTGATTATAAACACAAAAATATAATGATGTTAATGTGTGAAAGTAAGAAAAAAAAGGTGTTTTATAAATGTTATTATCAAAAGAAAAAAAATTTACTGTATTAGAACTGTGTGAATTTCAAATGTGAAAAAAATGTTTTAATTTCGTGGTTTACGTGGTTGACGACCACGACGAGTTGTTGTTACGGCTGCTGCTGGAGCAGGTTCTTCTTTTGTAACAATTTCTTCATCATCGGCTTGTTCAGTTTCTTGTGTTGTTGCCGCAGTCGATGATTGCGATGGTTGAGGTTTTGTTTTTTTACCACGAAGTTTACGATTATCACCCGATCCATCACCGCTACCAGCAACAGTGACAGCAGTATTTTTTAAATCTTTTCGTCCACCACCGCAGCCACGTTTTGTTGGCTGTTCTGATTCTTGTTTTTCAATTGGTTCATTCATAGCGGAAGAAGTCATTACTGATTCACTTTCATCATAATCAACAATAACATTATTACGTTTAGGTCGTTTATTTGGTTTTTCTTGTGATGGTTGTTGCGATTGTTGTTGTTGTTGACCATCATCAACATCATTTGATTCTTTAGCGGTATTTTTTAAAATTATATTTTTTTGTGATTTACCACCACCAGCAGCACCATTTGCTTTTTGATTTTTACGTTTAGCTGCTGTTGCTGTAGTTTTATTTGATTCTTTATCATTATTTACCGATGATGATACAGCTACTTCCGGTATATCATTACCATTACCAACATCATTGATTACGTGATCATTATTTTCACCACCACCAACACCATTATCATTACCATTTGATGATGATGATGATTTCAATTCCAAATCAACATTCATTGCATCATCATATTCACCATTATTTAATTTTCGTAAAAAATCTTGTGCTAAATTACGATCAATTACATCATCGGTACCGAATTTTTTCAACCATTTATCATAAAAATCTTGTATTTTCAATGATGAATTTGCACGCCAATTAATTTCTATTGCAATTAATTGTTTACGTTTAAAATTAATCAATTTTGACATGATGATGAAATGTATATCAAACGTGATCAATATAAAATCCAACGGACCAAAAAAAAAACAGATCGATAATAAACCAAATGAATTTTGAGTGTATGTGAAATATGAGTGAAAACACCAAACAACAATGGTCGAAAAAACAAAAAAAAAAACTTTTTTTTGAGAAAAAAACGTATCAACCAAACAAAGAAAAATGTCGGATGAAAATGATTTTTACATGAAAAAAAACCAAAAAAAAACACACTGCAGTGGAACGCGAACACACACACAACGAATCGAACGAATCAGAAAAAAAAATAGCGCCACAAACCACACAGCAACAGCTTTCTTTTATATTCGTTGGTTATCGAAAATTAAAGCGCGCAAGTGGCGGCACCATTCATTAACATTGTTATCAAAAAAAAATTTTAAAATTTAATTTTAAAAATTTTCAAAACAACAAATGTTTTTTTCATCATTGTAAATTTGTAAATTTAAAAAATTTTGTCGTATCCAAATCAATTTGTAATCGCCGTCGATGACCACTAATGTTGGAATGTTGAATTAAATTATTCGAACAAATCGATATGGTCGCTATATTTACTAATGAACGAATAGATTTTTTATCATTTGGTTCTTGTTGTTCTTGTATGAAATTTTCATTACGAATAAATAAAATATCATCATCATTATTTTTTGGTTTATTTGATTTTTTTGATAAATCAAATTTCGATACATTTTCTAATGTTATAATTGATGATATTTGCTGTTTTGTTTGTTTCGATTGCTGTTGTTGTTGTAGTCGCCGTCGATAATCCTGTTCATCCAAATTTGAATGAAATACAGCCGAACAAGATTCATTTGAATTATCAAGATTTGTTAATGGTTTTGGATATGAAACTTTACGAATTTTTTGTTCATTCATGGGTGTTTGCGATAAGAATCGATTAAGAATACGATCACCATGTTGTATTGGTAAATGATTAATTGTACGTGAATTTTGTAGAAAAATATATGCAATTTCATCTTCTAAATCATCATTGTTATTATCATCATTATTGTTGTTGCTGTTATCATTATAATCGCTAATTATTTGACAACGATAACCACCATAATATGGATTGGATAATTTGGAAATTTCTTTTATCGTCATTGGTGTTGATGATTTCGATGATGATGATGTGGTTGTCATTTTAATTCAGAAGCTGGAATCCGCAAAAAAAACAAAGAATAAAAAACTATATAAGAATAAATTTACAAAAACTTTTTCTTTTTAAAAAAACAAAATTCTTTTTTTTTTATTCAAAATCGAATGAAAACAAACAGTTTTTATACAAAAAAAGGTAATGAACGAAAACAAAAAAAATTTTTCAAAAAAATCGATTAATCGGAAATTAAATTACAAATTATCGATTGTTGTTTATTTACTTTGTTTTGTTTTTGGTTTGTTTATTTATTTATGAAAATGATGATAAAAGTTTTTCAATAAAAAATTTACCCATATTTTTTTGAATCAAACCAATCGATAATCGTAATGATTGAAATTCTAACCCGAAATCATTACGAAAATTTTGAAGATTTTGTTCACGTTTTAATTGATCCGAGAATTGTTCAAAATATTCGGGAAATTTCGAAATAATTTTCAAATCATCCATCAACATTGTTAATTCCAATTCATTTGGATTACGTTGAAATATTCGTTGAAATTCATGTGATAAACGTAAACAAATACTTTGATGATCAAGATTATCATTTGTTGTTGTTTTATCGATTTGTTGTTGTTGATCATCCAAAAAAATACTATCAAAATTAAATTGATGCAAACGATTTGTTTGTAAATAACAATCGAATAAATTTGTTATCATTTCACAATAAAATGATAACAATTGTTCAAGATTCATTTGAAATTTCCTGGATAATTCATCAAACGCAGGTAAATGATTGGGAATTTTTTTACATTCAATTTTCGATATAAATTCGGATAAATTTTCCTCATTCAATTCGTTCGAATGTTGTTGATCTAAATATTCGATTAATGTTTGCGGTGAATAACCATCTTTTGATTCGATAAACATCAGATGATAACCACCATTTTCTAATAATAATCGTATTGATTTACGATTACCAATAATCAATGCATAATGTAATGCTGTAAAACCATTATCTTTTGAAATTTGTATTTCATAATTCAATGGATAATCGGATTCAATGCTTGATTGAATTAATGTTTCAAGACAATCAAAATGCTCATAACGTATACAATCAATCAATGGTGTATAACCCGAACGATCTTGTTGATTTGGTTGTGTTTGATCAAAATATTTTCGAATAACCGCTGGATCATTATTACGACTTGCCATATGTAATGTATTACCACCATAGTTTGTTTTCCGTGTTAAATACCTTGTTTGTTTGGGAAATTTTTTTTCACTTAAAATAACAAAAAAAGACAACTGATTTTACTTACGTTTGATATGACGGTTGTCTACCACTATCATCCTGATTACTCAAAGAAGATTTGATCAATTCTTTAAATTGTTTCAATTTTTCTTCAATTGAATTCGATTCCAAAGGTTTTTTATTATTATGCATCATCATACGAAAATGTTCAACACGTAAATCATCAAGATTACCGGTTAAAAATGTTGAAACCAACAAACGTAATGTTATACGTAATTTTCGTAAACGTATACCATTATTTTGACCAAGAATCATCGGTAATGTGTGTTTAAGATCGGAAAATAAATGATCCATAATTTGTAACATAAATTGTAAATTGAACCATGATAATGATTGAAATTGTTTGGATAAAAATTTTAATAAATTAAAATTTTCATTCAATTTATAACGTTCAAATTGACACCAAAGATCATTAGCAATAAGATTACGACTGGATGTTAGCGATAAATATGGTCGTATATTACCCGAACCAATACGTAATGATTCGGCAATCAACATTAGCATTTTAATGATTGATTGAATGAAAATATTTGATTGTTTTGGAAGCAAATCGAACGATAATAATGATCGATGAGTTTGATCATTTTGAATTTCCGAAAATGTTCGTATAGATTTGGTTAGCAAATAAAGAAAATATCTAACCATACTTGACATATAATCAGGATGTTTAACATTTGGCCATAATAAACGAACAATTAATGGACGATCATTATCATCTTGAATATCCAAAAGAAAATTAAATGATTTTTGAAAAAATCTTTCCATATCGTTGGTCAGGAATTTTACAATAATTTCAAATAACCGAACAGAAACAATCAATGCATTTGATCGATGATTATTTCGATTATTTTTCTTTACATTTTCTTCATCATCATCTTTATTCGTTGTTTGTTGTTGTTGAAAATGGCCAAAACAATTGTCAATAAATTCAATCAAATCAAATAGATAGCTATGATTATTTTGTGAAATAATTGTTGATTTGTTATTGATTTTTGAATCGGTTCGAAATAAATTGAATAAATTCATTTCAGTCCAATTCGAACGTGAACGATCCAATTGATCGAATATTTGTTCAACAACCAAACAATATTGATAACCAATTTCATTACGTGATTCCAGATAATCATTTGATGATAATTTTGAATATAAATTTAAAAAATAATTCAAAAAATCAATCAATTTTGGATGTGGTTGACGAAAATATTCCAATGATGAACCGATTGTTTGAATCAGATTTTTATTATCATTAATATTTTTTATTAAAAGTTGAAATAATTCTAGGATTCTGTCCAAACAATTATCATCCACAATATTATTTGTAATCAATGATGATGATGGTGAAAAAATTAGATAAGTAAATTGGCCGGATTGAAGTGAATTTTGTGTCAATTGTGAAAATGATGTTTGACTTTGAAATAATTGATCACCAAATGAATGATCAGACAAAGCGAATGAATTATTTCGTTTTAATGAACGAAGATTATCATCATCATCGTCGTCGTCGCCGTTGTTGTCATTATTGTGAGAACCGATAAAACTAAATTTCATTTCGTTATAATTATCATCATCATTTTCGTCATCGCTTGATGATGATTCAACATAATTCAAACGATTTATTTCCAATTTGGCCTGTAATCGACGACTTTTTCTTGCTGGTTCCAGCGATGAATTTTCGCTGCTGCAATCATTCATTTTTTTCATTTTGATTGAAAGAATTTTCAAAAAAAAAAACTTAATTTTCAACAAAAAAAAAATCGAATCGAATGTTGTTGTGAAATAAAATTCTGCAGTGTGTGCACAACATGCATGTCAGACAATCAACCAACAAAACATGTGCCGTTCATTGATAACGTGAAAAAAAAATTTGAAAAAAAATTGGCGCGAAATTTGGTTTTTATAAAAATTTTTAATTTTGAAAAATTTTTTTTTTACTCAAAAAATTGATCACGAATTAGATTGATAAATACTGGCCATGTATATGAACAGATACAGATTTCTGTTTTTGAATTACCAACATTCGGTTGTTGTTGTTGTTGTAATGTTAATAATGATTTTAATGATGACGCTGATGATGCAGATGTTTGTTGTTGTTGTTGTTGTTGTTGTTGTTGTTGTTCTTCACAATGTTGCCGTGAAATTTCAACGGCTGATTGTTGTTGTCCTAATGTACGTTTAGATGGTGAACGACGATCCAAAAAACTTGGACAACAACAACGAATTAATGAAAATAATGTTGTACAAACAAATACAAATAATATATAACGTGATACTAATGAATATTCCATTTTGATCAGCATTATTGTAAATATTTGTAATAACATTAATACTAAACCAATATGAACAAAATTCAATGCTGTTAAATGAATTTGTGAATTAATTTTTGGTGATAAATAAACATGATAAATATTATAACGATCAACAATATGTTTACCAATCATATATGCTAAACCACATGGTACAATTAATGGTGATGCAAAACTAAATATTATTGTCATTGTAAATATTAGTAGGTTTTGTGAATAGAATACACTGATTGGAAATTCCTGTATAATCATCATACGTGCTGATTTATATTCGAATGGTGACCGTGTGTATAAAAGATAATATAAAAAATAAAAACATGCATCCATAATACGTAATAATTCGAATAAATTCCCCAAAATTGTTGCATGAATAATATAGATAAGGAAAAATGCACCATTATCAACCGGGAATAAACATTGCCAATGAAATGATGATTCAGATGATGATTGAGGTGAATGAGCGGTATCCGTTTCGGATACTTTATTTGATAATGTTGTATTCATACCGAAAATATTATCCAACATTGCGTTCATTCTAAATTCGGGTAACTTGGGGTTAAATTTTCTCTATCAGAATTTTAATGGTTTACTTACGTTAAAAAACCAGCCGATGGTAATATAATAACAGTTAATATCATAAATGAATAAAGATTAACCATTAATGCATGATTCAATCCAGAAATAGTTTGATATGGTATCATTCTTAAAACATATATAACAATAGATGGCATTGATGATACTAACATAACCATAAGCATTGGATTCAGGTAATCAAATAAAAATGATAATGGTCGTAAGATTGGTTGATCATGTAAATGTTGTAAACAATAAATATCCAATAATTTAAAAACATATGTTGGTGTTGATAGAAAAAGAAAAATTATCAATAAAAATATTGTACAAAAACATTTTCGTATCCATTTTCGTTTGATAGCAACGCCAAGATTACGCCAATTAATATCATCGGGTCTTGGTGCAGGATAATGACATCGGTCATGAATATAATCAACAAAATTTGTTTCAACATCATCCAATAGGGCTTGATTGCTTCCCGATCGAGATTTCAATTTCGATGATGATGATGATGATGATGATGATTGTGAACGACGTTTCAAACGTTTAAAAACACTAGCGGCTATTTGTTCGGATTCAAATTCAACAAATATACCACGTATAGATTTATCTTCAATTTGTGTTAATTTTTGTAATTCTTCATCGATTTTTTTACGAAAATCATATAATTCATTACGATAAAATTGTTCCGGTGAATCAGCCGGTTCCGATATACAACAACAAATTTGTCCACATGGTTTTATTTGAAATTTTGTTTTTGATTTATCATTAAAATTCCGTTCATCATTATGTAATGATTGTAATGCTAACCATGAACAACGATAACTATGTTCCAAATCAGTCAAATGACTACTATCCATTATTAATTGAATTCCAATTAATCGTGCAAATGGATATGATTTTTTTAGATTTGATTTTAATTGTTCCAATATATCCAGTCTTTTTTGATTTTTTGTTTCCGATCCTCCTCTACTACCATAATTAGATGTTGTTGTCGTTTGATTTAAAGCAAAAACTGATTCAGCTTTTATCGATCCATGTTGCTGTTGTGGTTGTTTTCGTAACGATGTTAATTTATCCATTGATGGTCGTATAAGAAGAATTTTTTGCTGTTGATTTTCATCAAATGTAAATGAATCTTTAACATCAGTTTGATCTAAACTTAATTGACATGGTAAATGTAATTCCTGTGCAAAACGATTCATTAAAAATAATGAAAATAAAACAATTAAAACCGAAAGATTGGCATGAAACCAACAAAGTGGTGATCCATGTGGTAGATTATTCATCGATGTACAGGCAAATCCTTCGCAATCTTTATCCAAAACAAAAAAGCAACAAAAAGTCAATTTTACAAGAAAAAATCTTCCAAGAGAAAACTTACCCGGATTACTAAAAACATTGATAGGTAGTATTAGACAAATTGCATTTATAGTCATAATCACCAATAAAACAATCAGATATTGTTGAAATAATAGATATTGATAGGCATCAAAACCACGTTCATTTTGAATTTGTTCATCCGTAATACCGGTTGTCCAAATATCGAAACGCTATTTTGACCAAAATGGGAAGAAGAAAAAGAAAATGAGTTTTGCATCAGAAAAAAAGGTAGAAATAGTGTTTACCAATATTTTCCAAATTGAACTTTTTTTCCGGATTTTTGAACAAAGTGATAAATCAGTTGTTGTCGTCTTCGTTGTGGTCGTTGCTGTGGTTGGTGTAATATCATCAGTTGTTTCCGATTTAAGTGTTTCATTTTTTTTCAAATTATTCTCGGATCGTTTTGGACATTTTTCCGGTTCAAAATGTTTCGGTAAAAATGCTGAAGACATTATTCGTGCAATCATTGTTTTAGATTCTTGTCGATTCAGTTCTTCTAGATCATCAACATTATCATAATTATCATCTAATGTTTTCAGATATAATTCAATTGGTCTGATTGAATCTGAATTTATCAATTTATCATTATTATTATTATCGATTGAAAAATTCATTGAATCATTTGATGAATATTTAAGATTGAAAAGATTATTTCGACCAAAATATTGTGTCCATGTAAAATTGGAAAATTTTCTATCCCAACCATTTCGACGAACGTATAATGGAAAATAATAATAAGGTAGTAATAGTAGCTGCATGCAAAGAAGAAAAAAGATAAAAATCGATAATCAATCAATCAAAAATCAAAAACAAAAACAAACCAATGAAAAAATCAAATCCATTATAATCGATTCGGGTATAGTTTCCCAACCATCATCCAATTTTAGCATTGTTTGATTTTCACTTTTCAAACGATTACAAGTATAATTTGCATCATAATTTAAATTTATAAATAATAAATTTATATTTTTTTGTTGTTGTTGTGTTGTTGATTTTATGGTTGTTGATATGATTTGATCGACCATTATTGATTGATTTTGTGATGACGATGACCAAAGAAAAATAGGAAAAAAAACGACAAGGAAAAAAGAATTGATTTCAGTACAAATCAATACAATCACTGATTTTTTGTTTAAAGTTTAGAATTTCATTCATTTTATTCAAATTTTTTCGTAGTTGGTGTTTAGAAAATTAAATTTTAGAACATTTTTTTTTTGGTTGTGTAATTAGATTTTCGTTATGTACTGTAATGAATGATCATCCAGATTCTATAATCTGGATGCTACATATGGATTAATTTTATGACGATAAACGGATGACATTGCCGAATAAATTGATGGTGATGCTTTACGATATAAACGATCATGTATAGTATTCGTTTTAAGATTTGTTGTACCTAAATTGAATAAATTCATTTTATTTGTATATGATGATAATGATGGTAATTTGGAAATTGTTGATTTATTTGTCATTGGAAAAAGTTTATTTGGATTAGGATTATTTGATTTGATTGTTGTTGATGATGATCTTGATGATACATTCAATGCACGAATCATTGAATTGGATGAAGATGTTTGCAATATCAATGATGTTTCAAAACTGTTCGATTGTCGTTGATGATGATTCAAATTGCTGGAATGATGATGTAAAGATGGACGATAATGATGATTATGATGATCATCATGGATCTTCAATGTTTCCGGACGCTGATTATGATTTCGATAATTATAATTACTTGCAATATTAAATTCATGTTGTTGTTTTTTCTGTCGCTTATAAACATCGATAGTATTTTTCAATTCAATCAAACGTTTTATTCGTTCATTTTCGATCGATTTTAATTGTCTCATATTTTGTCCATCATTATTATTCCAACGTTGACAATGTTCAATTAATTGTTGACGAAGATGTTGTTCAAAGGATTTCAATTGTGATTGTTGAAATCGTACAATTTGTTTATGTTGACAATTTTCATTAGCATTTTGCATAAAAAATCCACGAACATTTGGATTTAATTGATCCGATATTAATTCTTTTTGACAATTTGTTCGTGAACATTTTGTACAGACAATATTCTGTAATGATTGTTGTTGTTGTTGACAATCATTACATAATATTCTTGCACAAGAACTTACATAAAATAATAATGTTTGATTTTCTTGTTCCAATCTGGATCGATAACAAATTGAACAATAAATTAATGATGGATCGATCATTTTCTTTGTGATTAAATTATTAATCGATTAATTGGAACAAAAAAAATCTTTTCGTTTACAAAACAACAAAACAAACACATTCGAAACATTCGAATTCCGGCTCAGAAAAACAAAGTAATGAACGATAGTATCGATATGATATCGATACTATAATCGAATCAAATTTTTATTTTAAAATTTTCAAAATTTTCAAAAATTTAATAATTTTAATAAAACAACCAAAAAATACAAGAAAACAACAACAACAACAAATAAATTGAAAAAAAATAATCAAAGAAAGCATATATGGTCCCCAATCGTCATCATCATTATTAAGGTCGATCAAGTGAGAAAAGAGAAAAGGAAATTTTCTTAAATTTTCTTAAAATCGGGCACGTAATTTTCCAATACGTTTTTCTAATTGTTTAATTTCTTCTTTTAATTGTTTATATTGTTTAACATCGAATTGTCGGCTTTTAGCCAATTTCCAAAAACGTGCAGCAATCATACGTTTTTCAACACCCGGTACAACATATTCTTCCGATGTTATTATATAATAGGCAAATGAACTTTTGAAAACATTAAAAATTTTACCAAAAATCAAATCAAATCATACATACCCAACCATAGTTGTATATGTCATTATCCATGTAACTGGTTCCATAATATCCCATGAATATTCAAAATAAGTTAAACGACCAACAAAACCTAATTGAGCACTAAGTAAAAATAGACCACCAAATTTAAAACGTCTTCGTGATTCTTTTCTAGCTGAATCAATAAGTTCAGTAAATTCTTGTTGTAATGGTTGAAAACGTTCCAAAAGGGTTTGATGTTCTTGTTGTAAAAACTAAAACAACAGAAAATTTGGAGAAAAAAAGTTAGTTTTTTTTCTTTGCTGAAAAAACATGAAAGAAAACATTGAAAAGAAACAATCATTTTTTCATACGAATATAAATACAAATAATCAGCTGTTATATAATCAGGACGATAATTATTACAAGGTTTTTATAATCTTAAAATTACAAGGACAATTTTTTTTAAAAAAGGTAAGTGAATGAGGAAAATTAGAAAAATTGGAAAATTAGGTTTTGGGTTTTGGTGAGGGAGATTGATTGGTTGATTTTGGTCTACCTGAAATATAAATTTTCTAACCATATAACAATTCTGACATTTCTGACGTCGTCTTGATTTTTGACGATAACAACATTTGGATCGATTATTATAATTTGTATAAAATTCTAATAATAAACGTACCACCAATTCATTTTGTTCAAATAAATTTGGATCAATTGTTTTTTGTTTCAATAACATTGTTTGTGTATCTAATGGATTTTGATGATGCCATTGTTCCATATTGATTTTTAAATTTTTTGTTTTATCCATTAATTTAAAATAAATTCTTAATGATTTTTCTATATTTGTTTTCGAAAATCTTTGTTGTTGTTGTTTATTATCATTATCGTTGGGATCAATTGTCGTTGATGGAATCGTAACAGTACCGGTACCAGTACCAAGAAAATAAATTTCATCTAAATCACATCCAAGTAATGCATAACCAAATGGCATTAAATGTGCTAAACGATAACGTTGTTTAATAGCCGTTGGTGATGGTTGTTGTTGATGATTCGGATGATAATTAGGATGATTAGGATGATGAATATATTCTGCGTTGACAATTGTTGAATCGGAATCTGTACTTGATTGACTTTCACCACCACTACTACCACTGCTGCTGCTACTACTAATTGTATTATCATCCATCATTATTTCATCATTATCATTCGAATGTTCGGTAACCATTTCAATACGACCAAATTTTATATGATCAAAACGTAATGGAATTGATTGTGGATTATTATCATTATTGATATCGGTATCAAATTCAATCAATAATTGATCGAAAAAATTATCAACATTCGAATCAACAAAAATCGATGATGGTTGTTGTTTGATTGTTTTCGAACCAATATTTGTACAATGTATAGCCGATATTTTCGATGCTGATACTAATTCTTCTTGTAACATTTTCAATGCTAATTCTATTGGTGACCAAAAATGAAATAAACATTCACGTTGAGCAAAACGTATTGAAAAATAACCATTTGAAAATGATATCGATAAACGTATTGTAATTGTTAATGGTTGTTGTTGATTTGATAAAGAATTTTTTCCTGTTACAATTTTCGTTTCCGATGTTGATGGCGATGATGATAACGATGATGGCGATGTTGATGATAATGTACAAAATCCACGTAGGAAATTAGGATTTCCTATTATCATCATCATCCGCATTCGATTCTATTTTAACAGCATCCGACCAAAAAAACAAAGATAAATAATGTTTAAATAGAATCGAATAGATATATAACTTACCAGCAAATATCGTTTATCAAATATCTTGGTTGTTGTTGTCATCGATTTCGATGTATCACTTTGATAGTAATTATTTAATAATAATGACTGATATGGTAATGAAAATTTATTAAATTGACTAGTTGAGCAATTGAATGAATTGATGAAATGATGGTGGTCATCTCGATGATTTGATGATGATGATGATGACCATTTCCTAATGAAATTTTGACATTTTTCAGATGATAACGAGGATATCCAGATAAAATTATCAAAATTTTTGATAAAAATATAACGATAATTCAATAGATTCATAATGATACAATAGTTTGGCAATGCATTTGTTGTTTGTTAGTTTCATTATCGATTTTTCGTTTTTGCCTTAATGTCAATACACAAACACAGAGGAGGGAGAGATCCGGTCTATATATTTACATAATAATTCGGTTACAATCCTATAATGATGAAAGAAACGAAAAAAAAGAGACAAGGATGAGAAGCGAAAAAAAATCAATCAAAAAAAACAGAAAAAACAACAACCAAGAAAGATGGAAAACAAAGAAACTGATAAATAAATAAAGAATCTTTCATAGCAAACATAATGATAATGCGGATGATAATGATGATGATTACTATGAAAATTCACCGAAAACTTTTTCCCTTTATTTTCTCATTTTCATTTTTTTCTTTTTTTCATCTTCTTTTTTCTTCATTTTGACGAAATTAAAATAGATCAAGTTCCCTGTTGAATAATGTATGTGCAATTTGGAGGGAGGTTTTTGGGAGAAGTAAACAAACAAACAAAAAAAGCGGCAGCAGATGAAAACAACATTCGAATTCGTTTTTGGAATAAAGTTTCTGGTTTTCGTTTCTCTCTGGCGGGTTTCCCAAGATAATAAATTCAATAATAATAATAATAATAAGTTTACGAATCATCAGAGATGAAAAAACCGACGAAACTGAAAATGGAAAATGAAAACATAAGGGCTTACCAATGTTTTGTGGAAAAGAAGAATATTCTATTGAAAGAAAAGAAAAGAAAAATTATTATTCGGAACAATATTCTTGATGAATTTTCGAAAACCAACCACCACCACTACCACCACAAAATCCTTTTATTTTTTTCTGATTTCATTTTTTTTTTAATTTCGAACATTCGAATCACAACAATAAAGGTAGAAATAGCCAAACGAATGTAAGGTGAGAAACATTCGAATTTAATGCAAAACATTCGAAATTTTTTTTTTGTTCACTTCAAAAACACTATCATCATCACCGGGAAAAAACATCAAATGAAAGTCAGAAAAAACAAACAATTCAATCATTGTCGTTCACGATCATCATCAACCGACCCAACCGTGAACAGAATTTTCAAACGAAAAAAAATAAAACATTATCATCATCATCATCATCGGTTGTGGTTAACAGAGAGAGCGAGAATAACATTGAAACAAATGATAATAAATCATATCATCTCATTAAAAAAATCCTTTCTCTCTCTCTCTCTCCCTCTCTCGCTGTTGTTGTTTTTTTTTCTCTCAAATTTTTTTTTTATTACAGTCATTAAATGTTATACCTTTTTTGTTGTTGTTTCTCGATGGAATTGAATTCCGAAAATGAAAAAAAATATCACAATTTGATTAATTGAATGTTACAGTAAACGAAAACGAAAATTATATTAATTTGTGTTTATTTCACACACACACATATGAAAAAAAAATTATTGATTGATTGATTGATTGATTGGTTTTTTTTTATTGATGAACCATATTTTTTTGGGTAAATTGATGGTAAATTCTGAAAAGAGACAGATTGATACATTATCAGTCATGTTTCTCTCTCCGAATGTTATGATTATGAAGACGAAGAAGATAAAATATGAGAGTGATAACTGTACACATACACACATAGACAGAATTGGTTTTTCAACATATAAAGGAATGAACGAACGGTTTGTGTGTATATAGTCAACAACAACAACAACAATTCCAAGGATTTTAGGCGCCATATGAATTGGATACAATGCCACTACTACTTTTCAGTGGTGGTGGGTGCAAAAATGTATCAAAATTATCGAGAAAAAAAACTGATAGCAGTAAAAGTGATGTGATGTGATCTTCTCGCGCCAATCTTAATAACCAAAAAAAAAAAAAAAAAAAAATGCAATTCTGAGCCCCATCTTTTATTCGGGATAATAATTTCGAATGTTCATTCGATTCTTTTTCTGTCCGATTTTT